TACGAAATGCCACCCGTGTGATGCACATTCAATGTCCGATCGCCGGGTCGACTTTCGCTGCCAACATCACCAACATCCAACGACGATCCCATTGCTAACGAGCGATGCTTTACACAGGTCCGTTACGCCGCCCAGGAGATCTCGGAGGCCAAGAGCGCCCGCGCGCGCGGCTCTTACCTCCGTGTCAGCTTCAAGAACACCCGTGAGACCGCCCAGGCCGTCAACGGCATGAAGCTGTCCAAGGCCCTCACTTTCCTCGAGAACGTTACCACCAAGACCATGGCCGTTCCCATGCGCCGCTACGCTGGCTCCACCGGTCGCACTGCTCAGGGTGAGTCGCCCTTTTTTTTATTATTTGAAGAAAATTCCGGATGGATCGGAGGAATGGATTGTGTGGAAAGCCGAACAGCATCGCCAAATATACGACAGTCACTGGGATATGCAATGAAAATGACGAGGAAAACTTGAATGGAACAAATGGCTGGATTTCTTGGCTTATTGGCGATGCTACGGATCTACAGCCCTGGAAGAAAATTTGTGAATGGAGTCGAACATCGACTGACAATCTTTCGTTTACAGGCAAGCAGTTCGGTGTCTCCAAGGCCCGCTGGCCCGTCAAGTCCGCTGAGCACATCATTGATCTGCTCAAGAACGCTGAGGCCAACGCTGATGGCAAGGGTCTCGACACCAGCGCCTTGATCATCAAGCGCATCCAGGTCAACCAGGCCCCCAAGGGTCGCCGCCGCACTTACCGTGCTCACGGTCGTGTACGTTTTTTTGTTTTATTTTTTATCCTAAGATTCACGGTTGAGTCTCGTATAAAAATGCTGACTTTTCTTTCCAGATCAACCCCTACATGACCAACCCCTGCCACATTGAGCTCATCCTCACCGAGGCTGCCGAGGAGGTCAAGAAGGCTACCGAGGACAAGAAGGTCCGTCTCTCTACCCGCCAGCGTGGTACCCAGATCCGCCGTGCTCTCATTGAGGCATAAACGGATTGCCATAAGAAGGTGTGAGGGGACGTGATGTGAAAAGATTTTTGCGGTGGACGGGAAGGATCGGAGTTCTGTGCATCAGCTGTGTATGTTGGAACGGAATCGATACCGGATCATACAATATTTTAAGGTCATGGCGCCAACACTCGGAGGAGAACCCAATAAAAAGTTTAAACGATATGGCCCAGGGTGATGGAAATAGGATTCTGTACTTCCCGATCCAATCATGATACAAACGTGGTTCTTTCTCCGTGACTCTATCGAGTGTTTTCTCTTTTGATAGAGAGTGTTTCTCCGTTTCTGTCTTGTCTAGCTGCACACCTCTGTCGAGGTCCCGGTCTTTCGGTCATATAATATGATCTTATTTTTCTGTTTTATATGCATCCGATTGATTGTAGCGGTGACTGGATGTAGCAATGACTTGATACTATGAAATACGAGGTAATCTCCATATGACTCCATATGCACTTCATCTGAGGCATTATCGGCATGAATGGAATCACAAAGAAACCCTGCCTATACCATTTCCGGTCCCCGACATCCTTATCTAGGAATATGCCAAGGGGAGCATCCATCTATATATAAGCAGGGATCTACATGTCGGGGGTATAAGTAGCCCAGAGCAGAATATACTTCTAAGATTCATTCATCTCAATCTATACCCTCAGTATAGATATAGATATATATATATATATATATTCACCTGATCAAACCAAAATGACCAACCTCTCAGACTACCGTCTCCTCTGCTTCGACGTCTACGGCACCCTAATAGACTGGGAAAGCGGCATCATCACCGCACTAGAACCAATCCTCTCAAAAAGCACCACCCAATTCACCCGCGAACACCTCCTAACAACCTACCACGACCTCGAAAGCACCCAACAAACCGCAACCCCGGACCTCCCATACTCGGACTTACTATCAGCAATTCACCCCACCCTCGCTGCGCGCCTCGGCCTCAACCCACCAACAGAGGAAGAGAGCCGTGAATTTGGCAACTCTGTCGGGACATGGCCAGCCTTCCCAGACACGGTTGATGCCCTGCGTCGACTATCAAAGCACTACAAGCTGGTGGTGCTGTCGAACGTGGACCGGGCTTCATTCGCCAAGTCCAATGCCGGTAGCTTGCAAGGTATATCTTTTGATATGATTATTACCGCGCAGGATATCGGCAGTTATAAGCCTGATCCACGGAACTTTGAGTACATGTTGAGTGCTGTGCAACGTGAGTTTGGGGTGGGATCAGGGCAGGTGCTGCAGACGGCACAGAGCCAGTTCCATGATCATCAACCTGCTAGGAGGGTTGGTATTCAGTCTGTTTGGATTGAGAGGCCTGGGGCTTTGATGGGGAACACAGGGGATCCTATTTTTGATTGGCGGTTTGAGACTTTGGGGGAGATGGCTGATGCTGTTGAAAGTATAGTAGAGGGGTAGGTAGAGGGGGTGTGGCGTTCGAGATGTGAGGAGTACGTAGTATGAAGTACTTAGTACTTCTAAATATAGTGTCAACGTGTGTCGAAATTATGTACTGTCTACCCTCACACGTGGCTGAGTCAGGCATAAAAACCATCAACTGGTACTCTGGAGCCTGGATGGTCTTTAGCTTGGCAATGCAGAATACTTGGATGCGTGCGTGGAATGTGGCTTTGACCGCAGATTTTGAAGTTACATATATATTATATATCTCTCCTATTTTCTTGACTTATTAGCGAGGGTATCTATTGCTAGTTCCCTGCAGATAGCAATAGTTAGCTCCCTGCAGACTAGTTCGAGTCAAGGCCGGCAGTTGGCCCCCCCGCCTAGTATTATTCTTTGACAATCGAAACTTTTTTTTTTCTTTTCAGGATTTCCCCTGAAAAACAAGAGACTGTGCTATCACCATGAAGCGCTTCCTGGGATCACTGAGCAGGCGCTCAAGTGAGTGTCTCACCGTCTCCACGTCTCCCCGCAAATTCGCTAACTCGTACCTGAACATAGGCTCTAGTGACAGTGTCGAACATCGTGAAGACTCACCAGAAGCCATTGTCCTAAAAGAACTGGTTTGTACTGATTCCAGAGCGATCGAATAATACATGCTGACACCTTCTCCAGACTGCCTTCTGCGAATCGAATGCAAATGAGAATACGAATGACTCTTCGCGCGACGTGGTATGTGCCTAGGAGATGACAACAACAACAACCCCTTTCAGGACTGACAATCGCATTTTCACTCCAGCAAGGAAACGAATTCGTCCACCTCCCCAAAATCGTTGAAGCAGCCGAGTCAAGCCCCAATGCCGCCAAGGAAGCGGCTTTGCGCATTCGCAAGTATCTCTCCGATCCAGCCGGCAACACAAACCAAACCCAGTACAATGCGATTATGCTCATGCGTATCCTGGTCGACAACCCTGGCCATACCTTCACCCGCAACTTCGATGCCAAATTCGTGACGACCGTCAAAGAGCTACTACGCACAGGACGGGACTGGCACGTGCAGAGCTCTCTCCGCCAGTACCTGGATACCCTTGAGCAACAGCGCGCATGGGACGAAGATCTCAAACTGATGCTGCAGATGTGGGCGAAGGAGAAGACGAAAGCCTCGCATGGTTTGGTGAGCATCGCAGTCTCTCTCCGCGCCGTCCAAGACTCTAACCTACCTAGATCGACCGTTTCCCAGCGAATTCCATCATACCGCCACAAGTCCCAGCTAGGCCTCACGGTCACCGCCAGCCATACAGACAGTCCCGCGCGCCGGCAAATACCCTCCCCAGCCCGGTGGAACTAGCAGCCCGCATCGAAGAGGCGCGTAATTCGGCAAAGCTGCTAACGCAGTTCGTCCAGTCCACGCCGCCAGTAGAGCTGGAAGGCAACGATCTCATCAAGGAGTTCGTTGACCGCTGCGGGACCGCTTCGCGTTTGATTCAAGGATATATCCAAACGACCAACCCGGCTCCGGACGAGGATACCCTATTGACGCTCATCGAGACGAACGACGAGATCTCCGTCGCGCTGTCGCAGCAACAGCGTGCCATGCTGAAGGCGCGCAAGATCAGAGGATCCTCGTCGCCGACCTCGTCTAATCTGAATAGTCCCTCGCCGGCCTCGCAGGTTGTTGCACCAGCCGCTACGAATTTCTCTCCTCCCCCCACGGCGCCACCTCGCACTGAAACACGGAGCCCTGAACCCGCTGCACCCGTTACGACACAACTGCCTTCTCCCACCATGACTGGTGGTCGTCCACTTGCTTCCCATCCTGTCTCCGGATCTGCGACTACCGGTCGATATGAATATAACTCCGAGGATTTCCAGGTGCGGAATCCTTTTGCTGATGACTATGCTACGAATGATTCGAATGAGAGGAATCCCGTGCATGGTAATTCGCAACCTCAGAGTGATCGCGTGCGCTTCCAGCCCACTGAGCAGGAGCGCTAGCGTCATGCAGGGATCAATTGATGTTCGCCAATAGCACGTCTCTTTTTTTTTATCGCCCAGCGTTTGGACTCTTTTCTTTTTGGTTATACTCTCCTTCTGGTTGCGGTTTTGTCTATTTTGGTAAGCGCATATCTTTTGCCTTTTTCTTTGGGTTGTCTTTTGGTTCTATTTCTTTACTCTTTGGCCTCTATGATACCTCGTACATTGTCACCACACATATATTCTTTAGCTTTTTACCACAAACGTCTTAGCAGCATGACTTTATCTATAGGAGAGCGAGTGTGTACGGTCGTTTCCATATACCTTTAGGGTAAATACATGCCAGTCTTATCCCTCCGTGATCCGGTGTTATACCTTGTACAACATATGAAGGGCAGTGCCCCTCTGTATCATAACAGATGTGTGCACACAGCTCGGAGGTATATACAAGGCCAATATTACAAGCAAAAGATCGAATGCATTGGTAGGAAGTCATAACAGCAGCCGCAAATAGGGGCCAGTACAAGGCTGGATGTTGCATTATCAGACATGTCATCCTGCAACCTATTTCATATACCTCACCAACAAAACTATACCATCTGTCCAAGATTCACTCCTCAATCTTAATGGCAGCCTTCTTATTAGCCTCAGCCCTCTCCCTCTCCGCAATCTCCTCGGGGAAAGGCTTCCTTGCCCACACACGTCGCCTGCATAAAAGTCAGCCAAACCCACATCACAGACTCCACAGAGAAGAGAAAAGGAAAGAAAGAAAATACATACGCGCGCTCATAAATATGATACCTCGGATTCTTAAGCTCTGCCCTGAGCTTCGCAACATAAACAATAACCTCATCCTGCGACCAAGGCTCCGGCGCCCCGAATTTACAAAGCAACCACATAGCCCAGCCCTCCATACCGGACATCCAATGCTGGTAATTAACCGTTCCGGCCTCTTTATATTTCTGATCACGGGCCCAGGGCCCAATGGGCCATTTGTATTCTTTTTCACAGATATCCACGAACCCAGCCTTGCGGAAGGCGTCTTGCATCATATCGATTGTTTCTAGGGGGCGGCCGGCACGCTTGCCGCATGCTGATAGCGCGGGTCCCCAGCTGCGCAGGATGCTGTCTGCTGGTAGGCTGTCGTCGTCGCATTCGATGTAGGGGCTTGCTTCTAGTTGTTCGATCCAACCGCCTGGGCGGATGTTGCTGTGGGGGTCTTGGTTAGATGGAGAAAGGAGAAGCGGGATGGTGATGGTTTACTCGTAGCATTGCTGGTAGACGCGACTCCATTCTGCGTGGTCGAAGGCTCCGATCATGATGCGCATGTGGATGAGGTCTTGGGGTTCGTTCCAGGTCCATTCTTCGGCGATGTTGTCGACTTCCAGGATGCAGTTTGGGGGCATCCATGTTACTGGTGGTGGGAAGAGGTCGACTCCGCGGACGGTGGCTGGGTTTTTTGTGTGTTAATATGTTGATACTGGAGGTGGATTGAATTGGGATTCTGGACTTACTTGTTGGGAACATGTCGGCTACATCGCTAGAAGAGGGTGAGTGGTGGTTCTTTGTGAATATGAATGGTGGTTTATTCCCACGTACATGGCCCAGTTACCTAGACCTGTTCCAAGGTCGAGGATATGTTTGGGATCTTTAACAGGGGCATGGAAAAGGGGGTTGTCGTGGTCTGAGTCCATGACGAGGGCTACCAAGTGGCTGCAATATTGTTAGTTATCATTTGAAAGAAAGAAAAAGACCGTGTACAAGAGAATTGCGCATACCCAGCTTCGTATGTTTCGAACTGCTTCTCATCCGATGGAATCCTAATAGGATATAAGGAGATGATACTTTGATTTGGAAATCTATGCGTACAGATATTCTTTGTGGCTCAAGGTTTGATATCGTCGGCCATTCTCCTCTAGCCCCCGATACAGCGAGGAGCCGATCGAAGTGGTTTCGCTGAGATTGCGTGAGATTGGGGTCTTTTTTTTCTCCATATAGACAAAGATAATATTTACGATTGCCAGTCATCACCGTAAACGGTCGTGACATGGGTCGTGGGATCCTAATATTTGTTAGAAAAATAGATAATAAAGAATTGAGTAAACAAACCACGGCGATATCATCCTCGGGTTCAGTATGTATCTTTTTATCCATTGTAGAAACTGACCGGAACACAGAAAAAAAACAAAGAGGAAGATCAAAAGTGAAGAGTCGAAATATGTTCGGCTTGTTGGAGAGATGGGAAAAGGCATCCGACCACACCCCCGCTCTCATACCAAAGGCTACAACAGGAACTATGTTGTACATCGAAACCTTTGCCCGTTACGGGCTTAAGATGTGTGTGTGCTTTGATATGTGGAATTGTGGGGTTAAGGTGAGCCCTGGGATTGGCTGGCGTCTTGAGTAGCTGCATGTGAGTTCGCAAAAGTACGATTCTCGGCCAATAGGAAGTGTCTGGAGAAAGTGTACTCTTCACAGAAATTCTGCACGAATTCCACTTTAGTCTGGCTGAATCCCACTCCATTCCCTCGAATAGGGATATTCTCGTGATCATCAAACTTTACGACTGGGGCTCTTTCCGATCAAAAGTTTCATTAATATTACATAACTATGGAATATCTAGTTAACTAACTACCTACAGTTATCACTTTGAAGTTTCCCAGGTTGAGCTTGTTTATCCTGTTTTATAAGCTTCGAGAGATGGCATGGCTTTCCGGGGCATAGATTTTTATGATTCGTAATTCTTGATTTCCGACACGAGAAATACGAAGCTTGTAACAACCAGGTTAATTCTGATTGAAACGAGTGTACAATATACTTGGGTACATTCCCCAAGTCCTCCGTGTATGTGCGGGGAGATAGGCTATCAAATAGGCTATGCGGGAACCCGGCTACGGGGAATGACGCCTTGACATTTGAACTATATAAATAACTTAACCCAGCGAGACAATACTAACCAATTCCTCATTACAAATAACAACATATCTATCTCTACAAAAATCCAAATATGTCAACTACCCTCCCCTCCAAAATGAACAGCATCATCCAACCAACCGCCTCCTCCAAAACTCTCACCTTAACAACCACACCCCTCCCGACTCCAGACCACACGCAGGGCGAACATCTAATCCAAATAAAAGCCTGCAGTCCCTGCGCCGGCGAACTCCTCTGGCCAAAGAATTTCCCCCCACCAACCGAGCGTACTCTAATCCCATGCCCAGACATGGCGGGAGTCGTCATCGCAGCACCACCAGATTCGCCCTTCCAACCCGGCGATGAAGTATACGCGCGCACAAACTATATCCGACCGGGAAATGCGTGCGAGTATTCCATCGCTGTGGCGGACGAGTTGGCACACAAGCCGAAGAGTCTAAGCTGGGTCCAGGCTGCTGCGATTCCTGTCTCTGCGCAGACGGCTTGGCAGGTTCTTTTTGTTCATGCTCTCGGTACCCAAGGAAGCCAGGGAGAGGTAGATCTGGAGGCTACTAGGGCTGTTTGGGCGGGGAAGAGAGTTCTTGTTACCGCTGCTTCGGGTAGTGTGGGGATTTGGCTTGTGCAGTTGGCGACGTTGCTTGGTGCGGAGGTGGTTGCGACGTGTGGTTCTCGGAATGTGGAGCTTGTGAAGTCTCTGGGTGCGAAGGAGGTGCTTGATTATCGGGTTGCGGATTTGAAGGAGTGGGCTACGCAGTTGCCTTCTAATAAGGTGGATGTCGTTGTTGATTGTGTTGGGGGTAAGGCTCTTGGGGATGCGTGGTGGACTGTTAAGGATGGTGGTGTTGTGCTGAGTATCTATCAACCACCTTTGCAGGTCCGTCCGGATGGCTTTGAGGGTGAAGATGTGAAGGATTTGTTCTTTATCATGGAGCCTATAAGGAGACAATTAGAGGAGATTTCGAAGTTGGTTGAGAAGGGGTTGTGTCGGGGATTGGTGGATAGTGTCTGGCCTCTTGAGCAGTACGAAGAGGTATTCAAGAGATTGGATGGAGGGCATGCGAAAGGGAAGATTATTTTTGATCTGTCACTGAATCACTAGAAGTTGAGGGATGATGTTCCTCTAGTGATACACACGAGATGAGATGTCGTTTTTGGAGGCTTGTCCTGAGTAGATACATCCAATGTTGTTTCACTGAAACATATCGTAACAATCAAAATTGTCTAATGTGAATGATTGTGATTTGCTTAATCTGGGAAATACTATCCATTGCTTCATTACAACCTTGTGTACAAGATAAGCTCATCTTGGGAAAAGGTGCGACAAAGGTGAAGCAGCTAAAGCGTCAGATATTTAGCATGTGATATTGTACTTATTTTTTGCACCAATCTCGATCAGTCTATAGACACAGAATGTATACCGATCAAAGCCAACGTAAATCCGAGGATTCCCGGTCCACTTGGTTAGCCAGTCCAGACTAATATAAGTATGCGCTGGAGGCTCTGTCTCATATCCATGAGGCCAAGACGGCACTTGAATGGGAATATTTCACACAATCTAATATCCCGATCTATATCACAATGTATAATTATAACTGCTAATACGCTTGAATGGGTATTTGGTGACCTTGGAAAGTAGATATAATGATGCATAGCTCGATTATTTCTACTCCGTATCTTTCTGATGATTAGTCCAGATCAACGGCCTTTCACATTCATCTTTATTACGGAGTAGACTCTAGTGCGAAACCCTTGATAACCTAAGAAATATTTAGTTAGTTTCATAACATTTAGTTTGTTTTTCAAAGCATCGAGTGGACTACCAAGAGCCAGGTTCACCCTGGAATGAAATTGGATAAACGTCCGAGCAAAGCTGCCAATTCAAGTTTATTCTAGCATCTCCACGTTCTTAATCAAAGTAAAGCGCCCATTAATTCCATGTCTCACCTGCCAGCCCCTCCTTGGCAGGCCCCATTAACGTGAAACTCGGTGTATCCCTGTTCGGCGCGTGAAGGCTTGGCAACCCTAGCCTCAGGAACGCCGGCCTCGTCCCGGGAGAGACGATCATCCAATCTAGTTCAATACGGACCGGAGGCCACATTGTCCCGATGTGATGCGATTTACATTTACCGTCGGTCTCACTGGTCCCCTCCTGGTGGGGGGAGCGTTATCCCTTGGCTATATCCGATGTGTTTCAGTGTGATTGATACGTGCATTCGGCCCTACTCGCTGTTCGAGATGTCTCTGATAATTCTCGAGCTACTGTTTGCAGTTGATTAATGTCCCATACAGATCAGCTAGAGCTCCTTTCGAATATGTCTACCACAGAGTATATAAGCAGCGGCCTACCAGCGCAACACAAGGCCAGTTGAGCATGCTGGCCAGTCTTTTTTGAATTCTCATTCATTTTCACATTCATTTTTCTCCGGTTTGAGACCGTGCAGACTTCGTTCATCAACTATACATTCATTCATCGGTCTGGTTTACCGATCATTTCCATTCACTTCCTCCGACATACCAACTCGTCAAACATGAAGAACTTCGCTCCCGCTCTGGCTTTCGCCAGCATCATTTCCTTGGTCAACGCCCATGGCTTCGTCACTAGTCCGGAAGCTCGCCAGCCCGGTACCGCAATGGGAGCCGCCTGTGGCCAACAAGTCCAGTCCAACCAAGACTCCGACAAGTACGGTAACATCCAAGGCGAGCTGCAAGTTGCCTCCAGCCAGAATGATTACAAGGCCGCCGAGTGTGATATCTGGCTTTGCAAGGGCTACAAGTTCGCGGACAACAAGGATAACGTCCAGTCTTACAAGGCAGGACAGAAGGTCCCCTTCAAAGTCGACATCCGCGCCCCCCACACCGGTGTCGCCAACGTCTCCGTCGTCGCCACTTCCTCCAACAAGGTCATTGGCGCTCCGCTGATCTCCTGGGATGTCTATGCATCCACCGCCACCGGCGTCAAGCCCGATGAGACCGACTTCAGCGTCACCATCCCCGATGATCTCGGAAGCCAGTGTGCTACCGCCGGTGACTGTGTGTTGCAGTGGTACTGGTACGCCGAATCCATCGACCAGACCTACGAGTCGTGTGTCGACTTCACTGTCGGTGGATCTGGCTCGGCTCCCGCTGCGTCGTCGGCCTCCTCGGCCTCCTCGACCTCCAGCGCTACGGAGATCGCTGTGACTACCACCCCATCTGGCGCAGTTCAAACTCCCACCGCTGCTGCTCAGCCTACCACTTTCGCCACCACTGCTCGTGCATCGGCTACTTCTGCCGCAGCGCAAGTCCCTACCTCCAGCGCCGAGCCCTCCGCTAGCGCATCAGGCCTGCCTTTCTCCACTAGCAATGCTTCAGATGTCCTATCCTGGTTCGAGGCCTTGCTCGGCAACCTGGTGGGTAACTAAATGCGGAAGGCGTAAAGAACGGCCCACTAAAAAGTGGGCAGCATAATGTCGGAAGCACATCATGTTTAGCATTCGATATCTACCTGTACCTTCTACGTCAGTTAGTAGTTAGATATATCGGTAATTAGATGTCAGATTTACCATGCTTGACGATCCTGGATTCCATTGCAACGCTGCTTCATAGCGATATCGGCGAGATCGATGAACATCCGATATCGCCACTTCCTGAGCTCACCTCAACAAATGTAAGACATCGATATCAATATAAAAACAAGCGTTTCCCCCACAGCCAAGCATATTTTAGTATTTCAAATCATCGAAACAATGCACTGTCGCCTCAACCCAACAACCAAATTATTCGCCCACTCCCCAAGAATGTGGCCCCTAAGCCCAACAACAACCAAATTATGCGCCCACTCCTTAAGAATCCCAATCCAAGTCTCAAGACCAGTCTACAGACAGTTCACAACAACAATGCCCCAAACCAAAGACTGGAGCGCAAACCAATATCTCAAGTTCGAAAATGAACGCACCCAGCCCGCCCGCGATCTCCTATCGCATGTGCCCCTGATAGCCCCAAAGAGAATAATCGATCTAGGCTGCGGCCCAGCGAACTCAACAACAGTCCTGGCAACGGCATACCCAACAGCAACAATAACCGGTCTAGACTCATCGCCGGACATGATCAACCGCGCAAAGAAAGTCCTCCCAGACCGAGACTTCCACGTCGCAGATCTGTCAACCTACACACCCGACCCAACCAAGCCCGTCGACCTCTTCTTCTCGAACGCGGTGTTCCAATGGCTGAAAGCCGACGACCGCATTGCTATCATTAAACGTCTGCTGGAACCCCAGGAAAAGGGCGCTGTTTTCGCACTCCAGGTCCCGCACAATCTCAACGAGCCTACGCATGCCCTCATGAACGAAACTGCTGCTGACGGCCCGTGGGCGGAGAAACTTGCTAGTGTGCAGCGAGATGGGTTCCAGTCGCCGCAGGAACTGTATGATCTGGTGAAGCCATTTTGTGGTCAGGTTCATGTATTTGAGACGAGTTATTATCATGCACTTGAGAGCCACGAGGCGGTTATTGAGTGGGTCAAGGGGACCGGGTTGAGGCCGTTTTTGGATCCGTTGGAGGATTCGGAGAAGGTGGATTTCTTGAAGGGTTATTTGAGGCGGTTGCAGGGTGCTTATCCGGTTTCTGTTGATGGGAGGGTGTTGTTGAAGTATCCGCGGTTGTTTATGGTTGCTGTGAAATGATTTTGGATCTAATTGTGTATGTATAGTTAGCATGTTGTTAGTTACTCGTTCTTTTCATTTTCACAGACTCTTCGGCAAAGTTGGTTCCTCGGGCTTTGAGGGTTTATTCTACATGACTTAATAGCAGTCTAGAGATAGAAAAACGCGTGGAGAATGACACTATACGAGAGTGGACGAATTCACACCCATATTGCTATCCAGTAAGCTGTTTAGATAGAATAGAGCATCGAATGGTTCCTCAGATAGCCTAGACTGCTCCCGAAGCAGCAATCTTAATGGTACCATCAGTCTTTCCAGACCGATCCAAGCTCTTGCTCTCCATCTTCTGGAGAATATCCTGACCGGAAACAACCTCTCCAAAGACAACGTGCTTGCCATCCAAATGGGGAGTTTCCACAAACTAATCCAGTCAGTCCAACCCGTCTCCAATCTACTTTAGCATAGTTTCGACTCACAGTAATGAAGAACTGAGAACCATTGGTGTTGGGTCCAGCATTTGCCATAGAGAGCAGTCCACCCTTAGTATGCTTGGCCCTGAAGTTCTCATCTGCAAACTTCTCGCCGTAGATAGACTTGCCGCCCGTACCCTAAAAGAGAGAATAGAAATTAGCCGGAGCTCGGATTTCGCCGTGATCCCGCGACTGACATTGCCGCGTGTAAAGTCACCACCCTGGGCCATGAACCCGGAAATCACACGGTGGAAAGCAGAGCCTGCATAGCCGAAGCCCTTTTCTCCTGTTGCGAGGGCGCGGAAGTTGGCCGCGGTCTTGGGGACGACGTCATCATAAAGTTTGAACTCGATGCGGCCCCAGTTTTCCACTACATGGTGTTAGTCTGGCTGGATTGAGACGAGAGAGTAGACTTACCCTGGCCACGATTCGTAGTGTATTCAATATCAAAGTAGGGGTTGGACATGATGAAGATGAAATAGATGGATTTGAGGTAAGATGGGAAGTACAAAGATGAGCTGGAAGGGGGCGGGGTATTAAATGAGGGGCTCGGATCTGGGGTCATGCAGGAATGAGGTCATCTTAGGGTTATATTGTACAAGTTGGACGTATTAGAACCCAGTTGGACATGAGTCGGACATTAGTTGAACAAGGATTGGACAAGGATCGATGTTGGATTCATTGGTCCACTATAGGGTTCAAGATCGGAAGATTCAACCGCGATTATACATCGACAACTTCAACATCACTTTGAACGGTTCAAACCTTTGTTTCCTGCTCAGAAATTATTCCTATTTTTCTTACTAGGATCAAGATTTTAAAGGGTTTTTTTGAAACCGGGTTCATTGGATTGAGTCTTGAAAAAAGAAAAGAACCGCGGAACGTCACAGACATCTCTGCAGAGATGCTGCCCTCACGCGCACAAGACTAATGGGCACATATTGGAGTGCAACCCAAGAACATTGAGCAAAAGAAATTTAAAAAAAAATTGACGTGAAACCAGTAAAAGTCAAGAGAAAAGGTGGCTATCTTCACTATCGCATTCCTCCGTGCGTTGCCACCGAAATCTTGTTCCATTTACTCCTCACCATTGGCGTCGTCGGTATTGTCGGCATCCTCAGCATCGTCGGCGTCCTTATTGGAGACGCTGGCATTGAAAGCTGGGACACCCTTCTCCAGCTTGATGTTCAGGCGAGACCACTGTTTCTGGACAGTGCCAACGGACTTGCCAGCATCTTTAGCGACGGCAGGCCAGTCAATCTGTAGGATAACCCAGTCAGTAAATGGCATGCTTTTGTATGGTGTGCAGTCATATTGTGTGCTGTCATGTGTTGATTGGACATGTGACAACTGAGAGACACTTACCTTCATTCCGGTGGACATCTTAACGCAATTCCACAGGAACACCAGGTCCCGGTCAATGGTAGAGGATGAGACATTTGCAAGGGAACCCTTGGCCTTGACAGGGGTGCGCTTTACGATTCCTGCCTTGACAGGCTTGGCGGCCTTCTTAGGGGTGATTGGTTCTTTAACCATATTGATGAGTTGAAATGTAATGTTGGTATGAAGTGTAGTGTTGATTGCGTAAGAGTGGTCTGAAAGCAGAAATGTGAAGATGATTGATGAAGATGATTGATGAAGATGATTGATGAAGATGAGAGAAGAAGGAGGAGGAGGAGGAAGGTGAATGGGGATTGTATGCCATTTATAGCGGGTGGTGCTGCGTTGCGTTGGCTTAAGTTGGCCCGATGATTTGATGCCATTACATATCGCAGGGGTTACACTTTTAGCTGTCTCGCTCAGAGAGAACTACATCGTGGACATTATAGGCTCTTCTGTTTCTGTGCCACCAGCTCCTCTACCTCACCACCCAATCTTCTACTATATCTACTTGTACTCAGTTTATTTCGTAGAATTAAGAACAGAAAAATGGAGCGTTCACAGCCGATCACTTGCGTCGTCCGCCACGCCCGAAGAAGATAGAATAAAAAAGAATAAAAAAAAGAATAAAAAAACCGTACCTAGAAACTAACTCAAGTAAGCAATAGAGAATACACAAGGCGTTTGAGAGAACAATCATTAAGGAACTCGGCAAATTGACTCTGTACCTTTGGAATAAGGAGGACCTTTATTATTAAATTTAACATATAGTAAAGTATGAAACTAACTATGAAAAATTAGATTAATGCTAGGAACCCACAGCATTAAGGCCATAGTGACTTGTCTTAATCCATTTTATCTGGTCCGATGTAGTAGCGAACCACTTTTATATAAACAAATAAAGTGAGGGTTTTCGTTAATTGAAGGAATTAACCAAATCTCACGACATTAAGTGAGATATTATTTAACTAAAAAAATTATTATGTTTTTCACAATTAACCGTGCCAAGCGCCCAACACACCGCCGTGTATTGGTGCGCCCCACTAGATAGCCATTTTTCACCAGATAGCCAATTTTCACAATTGTATCAACTTCCCATACATTTTTATACTATACCACGATGTCAATTTCAACCGAAAATATCGAGGATCGGATCCAAGAAGCCGTCAAAGCATACCATACATCTACCAAGCCCAATCTCGCTCAATTAGCCCGGGATTATAGGGTTTCCCGCGGTCGACTAAGGGGCCGAGTCCAGGGCCGCCAGTCCAATTCCGACCGCGCCAAAGCAACCAGAACCTTGAATTTAATTCAAGAAAAGGCCCTTACTAGCTAGATTCAAACCCTAGATAGTGCGTATATATCACCTACCCCCGAGATGGTTGAAGATGCTGCAAATACTATCTTAAAAATAGCTAGCGAAGACCGGGTTGTCGGCCATAACTAGGCGTATCGCTTTATTACAAGACTACCCCTAGGGCTCAATTATATTACCTAAAAACTAAAGGAAAAATCGAGGGTAGAGAGTGAAGATTACGGTGCTTTACTTCTCTGGTTTAATCACCTTTCTATAGTGGTTAACCAGCATCAATTCCTACCGCATAAGATTTACAATTAGGACGAAACCGGCTACCGAATTGGCCAAGGGAAGCAACGTAAGGTTATTACCTCTCGTATAATAAGCGATATCCCTACCGGTGGTCAGTCAGAGTCAATTACCGGTATTGAATGTATTGCTGCCGATGGCTGGTTAATGCTACTATAGTTTCTACCTAAGGGTAGTTTATATATAGAGGAGTGGTATAAAAATATTATAACCCCCGATTTTCGAATTAAACCTACGCCAAATGGTTAGGTTGACGATGAAACCGCACTTCAATAGCTCTTCTCTTTTTATAAAGCTACAATTGACCGGGTTAAAAAAGGGAGGCCAAGGCTTCTTTTAATAGATAACCATAGTTCTCATACAACCTTCGAATTCGTTAATTTTTACCGGGAAAAATTCATTATCCCCTTTTATTTTTTACCCTATACCACCCATCTCTGCCAGCCGCTAGATGGTCAAGCCTTTTAAAGCTTAAAACACCATTTCCATACGGCAAATAACGAGATCGTTATATAGGGTGGAAGTATAAGTAAGAAGCGGGATTTTTTTCGGATTATCTAGGATATTAGAGAGCGAGCTTTTACGTAGAGAACGATCCGAGATTCATTTAGATCTAGGGGTATTTACCCCTTAGATCTAGATATTATTCTTACTCCTCTCCGTGAAAGAGATATTCAAGGGTCCCCCCTTAGGATTTTCACGCCATCCCCCCCCCCAGATTTTACAAGCTCAGTCACCAATTCACCGCTAGATACAATTGAGCGGGTTAAAAAGCTTAATACTAAGCTTGCCAATGATCTAGAGCATCTACAGAAGAGCGTACAAAGGCATATTCAACGAAGTATAGATGCAAATACGCTTTTATATCAAGAGGTTGAATTATTGAAGGCCTCTTTAAAGAAGGCTCAGTCCTACAAATCAACTACATATACGCCAAAAAATGGGAAATCGCTTCTTAGGACCAAAGGCAATGTCCTATCACCTATATGCGCGAATAGGATGATGGTAAAAAGACAGGATGCCAATGCTAGGAAGTTGAAGCGGCTACAGGCAAAGCATGCTAAGGAATTGGAAGCCCAACAACGGGCCCAAGAAGCAAGGGATTTATTAGAGACTAAGCATAAAGCTTCAATGGCGGCAAGAGATAGTAATGGTGGAAATTGGTATGTAGATAGTCATGGTGGTTACCTGTAAATAGTATTTTCATAGGTGAATAAATTGAAAATTGGCTATCTGGTGAAAAATGGCTATCTAGTGGGGCGCACCAATACACGGCGGTGTGTTGGGCGCTTGGCACGGTTATATTTCTAAATTACAGTTAGATGCTCCAACTTCTTGGGGGCAATTTTTCCAAAATAGAGCTTCACCTTAAATGGAATAGAGTAATTATACCTGAATGAACTCACCAACACCATGCCGTAACTTGACCACACTAAATTCAACAGGTTCCAAAGTAAACAGATACCATATTGGAGTCATCCCAGCCTTTGCAGACAGAGTTACGATTCCTCGTTAATAACAGTGAGCGTTCTACCCGAATCTAAAGAACCGAAGTATCTAAGTTGTCATGTGAGCCAGTAGCATAACATTCAGCGCTATTAGCATACCTTATTCAGGTACCATTGAATATCCAATGATAATGTCCCGAATACCTGCAACCGTAATGTATGTACTTTGTATGTTGGGATGTTGTACATGGAAATTGCTGTGCCAAGGAGCTAAAGCGGAGCAAGATCATCTCGATAAGATAACCTTGCACAGCCACGATTAGAGGAATTTATTTCTCTCCTTACATCAAGGGTTTCTTTCATCCCATTCACCAAATCCAGCCCATTCATCTCGTTCATCATGGAGGAACATTTGCGTCACAGTCTTTCCAATCACCCACATGCCTTCCAAAGCTTGCATCACAGCCATAGCAACTCGCCGTCACACCGGGCCGACAGAATGGCTCCACTTTCTATCAACGAGGGGACCACAACCGCCCTAGAGCACGAGCTCACCACCTTGCAACAACACCGCAGTGGCAGTTCAAGCGATGAAGAAGGTCAACCCCCGCCACGTTATACCCCCGAAAGCGACCCATTCCAACTTGCCTCAAAGCTGAAGACCGAGGATGAGATCCGGCAGATGAAAGCCAATACCTCGCGGAAACGGGATTCCACCACTGCAAACAAGAGCCGGAAAGTGGGTTCCATAGTGAAAGACACTGTCCATCTTGGAAAACAGGCCTTTGTCACCAAGAAGCTGCAGGGATTCTACGAGTCTCAAAATGAAAACATTGAGCGCATGCTGAAACCCGTCGAGGAGCACCGACGTGCCGCCCGCGAATTGAGCATCGACAACCGTCTCAAGTACCGCATCGCTGTTTACGGTAGTTTTGCCGCAAATATCATTCTCTCCGTCATCCAGGTGTACGGTGCCGTGTCATCCGGATCGCTCTCTCTGTTCACCACAATGGCCGACGCCGTCTTCGACCCCATGTCCAACCTGACCCTCCTGCTGTGTAACAAGGCAGTCAACCGTGTTGATCCACGCAAGTTCCCGGCTGGAAAGGCCCGCATTGAAACCGCTGGCAATATCTGCTTCTGCTTCCTTATGACCGCTGTCTCTTTCATCATTATCGCCTTCTCTATTCGCGAACTGGTATCTGGCTCCGAGGAAGAAACCCAGTCTTTCCACCTCCCCTCCGTCATTGCTGTTGCCGTCGCCTTTGCCACGAAATTTGCCCTTTTCCTGTACTGCTGGGCCCTACGCAACCAGGTGTCTCAAATCCGCATTCTGTGGGAGGATCACCGCAATGATCTATTCATCAACGGGTTCGGTATTCTGACCTCCGTCGGTGGTAGTAAGTTGCGTTGGTGGATCGATCCTATGGGTGCTATTATCCTATCCGTGCTGGTAAGTGCGCTGTGGCTGCACTCCGCCTATGGCGAGTTCCAGTTGCTCGTCGGCGTTACTGCCGACACCAAGATGCAGCAGCTCATCACTTACATCGGTACGTTCATTCCCTTTCGGTTCTTTTTGGACTCCTGATAAAACCATTCACTAACATTACTATCAGCAATGACGCACTCTCCCGTCATCACTGCCATCGATACCGTCCGTGCATACACATCTGGCCCCCGCCTGCTTGTCGAGGTGGATGTCGTCATGGACGCAGAGGCATCTCTGCGTGCCACCCACGATGTCGCCGAAGAGCTCCAGATTAAGCTCGAGTCGCTTCCCGACGTTGAACGTGCCTATGTGCATGTTGATTACGAGACCACCCACAAGCCTGAGCATTCCCTGAAAAAGGAGCTCTAGATGACATAAAAAATTTGGATTAGCTTTTTCATTTTGGATAGCTTTGACTCTTAAGTCCACCCACAGTTCCAATATTCTTCGGGTTTTATTTTACCTGGAGAAGAGAGCGTTGTATAACTATGTGTTGTTTTAATGCAATGTTCTTTTGTAGAATGGATAAATCCTTGCAGAAAATTACATATTAACTTGAAAACTTAGTGCGGTTCTTGAGGTCTTCACAATAATCAGCATTGATCAATTTCAAGTCGACGCTCGAGACAAGGGCTGCTTGAGTGTTTATTGGTAGGGTGTCGACGATCAGCAGTTTCCGGTAGTGCCCAAGCGACTAGGATCAACTGGTTGTAGAGCCCTTTCAGTGAGAATCTGCTAGATCATATTCCAAACAGCAAGAAATCGTCTTATCTTCTATCAACCCCATTCAGGCCCGCGGTGGGTGCCTTCCCTTTTGGGTAACGGACAACTCGTCACCGCAATTTCCCGTTTGCTTTCGGCCACTGGGGAAATATAAATACCCCCATCCCCAATTTCTCTCTCCTCTCATTTCTTCCTTCTCCACGCCACTGTCTCCCTAACCCCTCCCCCTCTTCCCCCCGTCTCCAGGGTCCACATTGCACATCGTGGTTCTGTTGTCCGAAGGGTAACCTGAGGACTCTGATGATATTTGCCGCGGTCCAGTTAAGGTTGACACTGGGTTGGGGCTTCGGTCTCAACTCTGGCACGAAGCATGTGTGGCGGACGGTATGAAACAGCCCCCCGCGAACCACTAGGGACCTCCTTGGGGACTTTATCCGGCCCTCTTAGCCTCACCTCTGTGGATACAGACTGTACTTTTCTGGGGTCTCCATCGAAATTGAGAGCTCAGCACTATGATCTCCCTCTTCTTGCCTCACCTCCCCTTTCCCCTAACCCAGCTGCACGGGTCCTGTGCAGCACCTGAACAGGACTTACACCTTTACGTGGTGTTCAGGATGAGTAACCGTTATGGTGAAACCAAGCGAGTCATTACCTAGAACTCCAATACAACAGCTTCAAACGGTACTCATTGATCCTGTGTAAGGAGACACTGCAATGTAAATATTAAGTCATTAGAGACTATTGGACAACGTGCAGGTAGAGACTAGCGCAAGGTACCCATGATTTGTGTCGATCATGTTGATCACCCCGCGATTCCGAGGCTTCTTCAATGCTTGGAGCTTGAGTCTTACACTGACGGACTTGGAATGTGGTCTCGGTGGGTTGTTGCACACTACAATATCAAATTTCTCTGATCCCAAGCTTTGACGGCATATATTGTTCCTCTTCACGATCCACCCACAATGTAAGACATTATGCATACTCCATATCGAAGTTCCCCTAGCAGCACAGGAACTATTTCTCGTCATTCGTCCTACCCAATGCATACTCGATTTGGCCGAGTTGGAAATGATCAACACAGCGGACAGCATTGCACATCATACATCCAATAACTGCAATGCACCGTACCCCTTTGCAAGCCCAACAACCAAAGCAACATCCCCTAAAACCACTTTCTATAAAGATCGCCATCATGCCATAACCCTCAGCCCTGACCATCATCTCAAATATTCCCGTCATCGCAATACTACAATACAAACCCACAACCCTTCATTCCAAACCAACCAGCCGCAATGGTCCACCTGAAATCCCTCCTCACCCTCACCCTTACCTTGGTAACTAGCATTACGGCGATGAATACCGACTCTACCTGCGACGACGCTTACAACAAATGCGTCACCACCCCAGGCGCGAACCTCTCAACATGTTTCTCTGACAGGGAGGCCTGTCGCCATGACCAGACCAATTCTCCTGCAAAGTTGCACTCGCCACACCCAGAGCGCTCAGTCTCCGATGAGGATGATTGTCAAGACGCCTTCAACAAGTGCCGTTCTGCTCCCGGCGCCAATATTTCTACCTGCGTCTCCGAAAAGAGTGCCTGCGATGAAAGGGAGAACGAGTAGAGTAGTTTCAATAGTCATTGCGTCGGTGCTTCTTCCTGTTATTTTCGGGATTTGTCTGCTTGATGTACTTCATGTGTTGAAAAATCTAGATAGTGTATGAGAAATGTTCCAAGTGATGTTATGTAGTATATAGCCAAATCTAGCTCTATGGGTATAGATATAAGATATAGACACTCTATCCCAGCGATGGCACATGCATACACACCACAGTCAATGCATGCTGCAGCTCGCCCACCTTCCGTAGTAAATGGGTATCTGACTGTCCACACAGATCATTTTCACCCCGTATACCCTCAGCAGCCTGAACTCGACGGTCGAGTGTCTGGCAAACTTGAGATAAAGTCTGCACCTCGCACAGCAGTAGTTGGGCTTTCATCCTTGTCTCCGTGGTGTGAGAGAGATTGAAAGCACCAATAGTCAAGGGAATGGTCAATGGGACGGTATATATCGAGTATTTCATACTTTCAGACGGTTTCGAGAGGCCTGTGGGGTGTCCATCGCTAGACTGGCTGCTATTCGAGCCCACATCTTCGAGGCCATTCGGCGACGAGGTGGCTGACAGGCCCAGCCCACCAATTTCAGAATGGTAGAGTGCTTCATACCAGGCCAGGATCTTCAAAAGAATCGAGCCGAGGACGAGGAGGATAGAAGGATCCCGTGCGCAGGATCTTGCAGTGCAATTTAATAATCGAGAAACCGTCTCTGTAGCAGATCGAGTCGTGCAAAGCACAATATCCTCTTCGGGGGATTCCTGCGGGGTTCGTGGTTTCGGCATGCTGCGAGATTGATTATGGTCGGTTGTATCTCCGTTCACGCAATCGGATTGGATGAATTGGTATAACGAGGAGAGCGTCCGACATGCTACCGCGATACAAGATTCGTGTTGATCTTCATGGTCGTGTCGCACTTCGTTTCCATTCTGACCACCGCTGTTCTCGTCCATCCCTCTCATCTCTTGAAGGGAACCGAGGCGGTGGCCATGGGTCACCATGGGATCTGGCCCGGCCGTGTTAGGCCATCCGAATTCTGGCGTTGACAAATGCGAGATTCCTGCATCTGGAGTCAAGCTGGGAGTCAAGTTATTTCTTCTTCTTTCCCATTCGGTCGGGTTCGAAGCGCGGTACCAGCTACAACTATGGTTATAGTTTGGCTGGTGGTGATTCAGGCCGGGGGTCCAGGATGGTTGCCCGGGGGCTGGGGGAGATAGAGATACCGGAACTCGAGAAGACGGATGATGAACAGGTGCATGGACGGAGGTAGTCTTGTTGGAAGGTGGTTTACCTTTCCGTCGCGATCGTCCATATATGCATTTGAGGTCATTTTGAACACATCGGGAACAACCTTGCTGCTCTTTTGTGCAGCGTACCTTGGATGCTGCGCAGGGGTCGCATGAACTCCGAAATTGAAGTCGTTGGGGTTTGCTGGGTTTGTTCTGATTTTGGTGATGTGTATGCATCGGCGTCTCTTGGGAAGTCACGAACATCACAACCTAGGCTGATCCGATTCATTGAAGTCAAGAGGATACAAAGGTGGCGAATAACATGCAGGTATATTAATTACCAATCAACAAGGATGTTAGTTAACAAGTGAACTAGTGCTTACTTGAGTCACCGTGTTTTTCGGCCCCATTCCCTCTTTCGTATTTGGTCTTAATCTCTATGTTGTACTTGTTGCTTAAGTTCTAAGATTATAAGTGGAATGTTATAGTATATCGGACTAGTTACGAATGAAGGATTAGATGTAAAGAATACATTCAAGTTTAAAAACCTCATAGTATGAACATAACTATATTTTAACACCAGACTCTGTCTTCGAGAAAATCCCAATAGATGGAAATGAGTCAGAACAGATTGAGATTCTGGAAACACAATGAAACAGAAAGACGGCGTATGAACTGTCCGAGACAACATATTACCAATTCACCTACTATGCAACCCTATACCATATGACATACCATATGGCATAGGGTAGATTAGTTAGAAATTCCCCCGTCTTCGGAACCCGAAGCCATGTGGGTCTAATATCTTTACTATGAAAATCCCGAGTCTCAAATTCTCAAACTCGCTATATAAAGGACATACAATGGACTTCTGTTCTCAGCATATCAGTTACAACTTCTCTCAATCTCCTAGTCTCCTAAGATTCCAAAAATGGCACGAAGACCAGCACGCTGTTACCGTTACTGCAAGAACAAGGTGAGTATACTTATACTTCCTCTCCACAAGTACAAGTATAACCAACTAAATCCCCCAGCCCTATCCCAAATCCCGCTTCAACCGCGGCGTCCCAGACGCCAAGATCCGCATTTTCGATCTCGGCCGGAAGAAGGCCTCAGTGGACGATTTCCCCTGTACCGTCCACTTAGTCTCGAACGAGTATGAACAACTGAGTTCCGAGGCACTGGAAGCCGCACGTATCTGTGCCAACAAGTACGCTTACTCCCCCCCATCTGCTCTCTCATTTTCATTCCAGGCCATATAATATAGCTGACTCTAATCTTCTCAAAAGGCACCTCGTCAAAACCGCCGGTAAAGAATCCTTCCACATGCGTATCAGAGTACACCCCTATCACGTAATCCGAATCAATAAGATGCTCAGCGTGGCCGGCGCAGATCGGTTGCAAACGGGCATGCGTGGTGCCTTCGGGAAACCCGCTGGGAAAGTTGCTCGGGTCAATGTTGGTCAGATTTTGATTTCTGTGAGGACTGTTGATCGGCATCGGGGGACGGCTGTTGAGGCCTTGAGGAGATCTATGTATAAGTTTCCTGGGAGGCAGAAGGTTGTTGTGAGTAAGATGTGGGGATTTACGCATTTATTGCGTGAGGAGTATTTGAGGTTGAAGGAGGATGGGTTGGTGAGGAGTGATGGGGCTTATGTGCAGTTTTGTCGGAGGAAGGGAGAGATTGAGGAGAATATGAGGGACTTTCCGGGGGCTTATAGTCAGGTTGCGGTTGAGGCTTGAGAGTTCGCATGTTTCTTAGCTTGATTTATGTTCGGAGTAAAATGGTACTGCTATCTAGGTAGTCCTACCTTGTTTTCACTTTTATCCTAATGTCTTTTGGGGTTACTATATTCTTGTTCGCATCGTACCCTTTTGTTTCGCTAATATGATTTCAAATGGGGATCAAAGGACCGTTCTACTTTCTTCTTATCCTTGGGAAAGGAGTAGGAATCGTCTCCAGGTCGCGAGTTTTGCTTTCACAAGGGCAATAACTGAAAGCTACGAGGGCAATGCTCGTAAACTAGTTGCCATGGCATTGTATATCATCACATCGATCACAGAAATGAAAAAGTCTATTGAAGACCTCAATCATGAAAGGAACCGAATACTGTGGTATCGAGCAGAAGACTGCCTAGGTAGGAACAATGTAAGAAAAATAACTGTCTAGAGTGAACAGATAGGAAATAGAAAATGGAGATTGAATCTCATACAGCGGTGGGGGAATACAGAAGATAAAATATGATATTGTTTACAACAAAAGAACCCTCACAAAAATAAGAATAATCTTAAAAATGATTCAAGAGAAAAGAATAATAATCTAAGCAGACTGTTCAAAGAGCGCGATAGTGGAGCAGAAGTTACTCCTATTCGGCTTTTGCGGGACCAGGGACTTGCCACTGGACGAGGTAACCATGTTGACAGAAGCCTTGGTGCTAAGACCATACAGCTTGACATCCGAACAATCGACCTCAACCATGTTCTCCTGGCAGTCCTCGGAGTTAAGACAGGACTGGGCGTAGTTCTCGAAGAAACTGTAGAGACCGGCACCATAGACGAAGACGTCCGAGGAGCCGAGGACACGAAGACCCCAGGCCTTGCGGCAGGAGTTTGTCGTGCAGTTCGAGAAGTCGGGGTCATTCCAGGAGTTTTGCGGGGTGTAAGGGGTCAACGAGGTCGGGTTGGATTGGTAGTATGGAGTCTCGGATTGGATGAGGCCCATGAAGACATTCTTAGCACTTGAGACTTGGTAGTTGTACAGTTGGTGGTGCTCCGAAGAGGTGCCCCACAGCCAAACGGGGTTCTGTGACTCGATGAGCACACCACGGCCGGTGTAGACATTGATCTGGTTGTGATCCTCAAGGTCGAGCTCGTGGTCGGCGGTCCAGAACCAGGTGTTCTCGAGGTAGGCACTACCCTTTTGGGTGATGTGCAGGAGCATGAAGGCGGCCATGCACTCCTCCTTGGGGGTGGTCTTCTCCTCAGGGGTCTTGGGGCAGGTGTCACTCTGCAGCTCGGTACCAGCGGCACCACCGATGCGGAAGTGAACATCCCACATACCGGCGGAGCCTTGGGATGAGCCAGCAACGTTCCACTCCATGAGAATGGCACCAGGGGCGGGACCCTTGGTGGTGATAATGAGGTCGCTCATCTCGACAGATCCAGTGTCACCCTTTTGGCCGACCTGGAAGACAGGGACGGGCTTCTTCTGGTCGGCGAACTGCTTGCCGTGTGCCATAAGCATGGGCCAGATCTCACCAGTGATCTTGATATCCTTGGGAACCTTGATGGTGGAGGTGATAACATAGGCACCGTGATCAAAGTAGATAACCTGACCATCCTTGTAGCTGTCAAAGATCTTCTGGATAGCCTCGGTGTCATCAGTGGTTCCGTCACCCTTGGCACCAGCAGACTTGACGCTAATGAAAGAGGAGGCTGCGACATCCTCGTACAGCGGCTTCGAGCGTTCAAAGATAGCACCACCCTTGAGCAGACTAGCTGGCTTGGAAGCAGTCTTCAAAGCGCTCTGGGTGCGGGCAGAGGAAACGGCGGCCGCGGCACCGCAAGTGGCGGTGCTGCTGTCACTGCCGGACTGAGGGGCCTGGCTAACTTGAGAGCCGCTGCCAGTGGTTTTAGCAGGGGCAGCAGTGGAGGTGACAGGGACAGAAGGTTGCTTGGCAGAAACTACACTAGAGGGCGAAGAACCAACAGGCACCGCGGAAGTGACAGGGGCCTCAGTAGAAGGAGCAGCTGCGGGAGTGGGCTCCGGGACTTCGGAAGCCTCAGAAGAGGCTCCGCCGAGAAGAGAGACACTGTTCAGCGCAGGAATGGAGGCAGTGTTGGTAGTGCGATCAGTATCGCCGCTGGTGCCAGCAACCGGGGCAGGCGAAGGAGCGGGAGCAGATCCAAGTGATGCAGTCTTCGCGGGGGCAGGAACATCGCTGCCCGCAAGGCTGGCGCTAGGAAGGCCGTAGGAAGCGGGACAGGCAAGGACAGTCTCCGTAACGGTCTCGACAACGGTAATCAGCTCGGGCTCAGCCTCGGTGGCGCGCTTGTTGATAGTCTTGGACGGGGTGTAGGTGTTACCCTGGACCCAGTTGTCGACGACGGAGCCACCTGCCAGGATGGTCTTGCCATCAACACCAGCGACAGCAACCTTGGAGCCAGAGAAGTCCACGTTATCCAAAATAAGGTCACCACCGCCAACGGGGATGCTCGTCTGGGTCCAAGCAGTAACGATACCGGTGGGGGTGTTGGTGAGCTTGCTGTCCAGCATCAAGACCGAGCCAACGGTCTGGTTGGAAGGGGAAGTGGACATATTCAGACCGACCTCACAGTTGTTGATCTTGACGGACTTGAAAGTCCAGGCCCAGTTCCAGTTCATGAAGATGGCAGTCTGGCAGTCGTTGAAGACCAAGTTACGGGTAGTGAACTGTTGGTTACCGAGGAACATGCCGTAGTTACCGCCATTGAAAGTCAAGTCGGACATGAAACCACCGGATCCGTTGTCCATGAAGATACCCTGCTGCTTGTTGGCGTCACCGCCACCCTTAACCATCTCGAAACGAATGTTCTGCAAGCTGGTAGCCTGGCCGACCTGCCAGTGGATACCTGCACCGGAGCCAGCGGGGACGCTGGTCAGATCAATGACCAAGTTGCGAATGGCGCGGAAGAAGTTGTTTTGGTTGGTGAACCAATTGTCGCCATTGTCCTCGTAGGGATCGGAATCAATCACAGCCATGCCCGCGAAACTGGCGGAGGCCTTGATGATGGGCAGTTCGACAGCATCACCAACGATCTGGGTGTAGTAGTACTGGACGATGGGCTTTGAGACAACATAGGTACCAGGTGGGAAGTAGACGATAGCAGGGGTGGTGGTAGAGGAATCACAGCCCTTGCCACACCGACCTCCAGAAGAAATAGCCTTGTTGATAGCCACAGTGTCGTCAGTAGAGCCATCACCTATGATATAGTTAGAATGTTTCCCGAGGGTATAGAGTTTAGATGAATCACTGACCCTTGGCACCATAGTCCTTCACATTTCGGAAGATCTTGTAGTCGGTGCTCTTTGCGAAAGGGACGACACCCTGGCGCTCAATATCGGCAACCCAGTAGCTTGAGGCGGCAGATGTCTTTTGAGTAGTCGCCAATACGTTGTTAACGGGGGAGACGGGAACGGCGACTGGCACAGCTGCGACCAAAGAGGCTGGCAAACCGAGCAAAAGGAAGATATGAGCGATAAAGATCGCGATGGATGTTTGTAAAACGGCCATATTGTAAATTGATAACGCTGGACCAGCAGCGAAGTAGGAAAAAAGAAAGGATGTCTAGGGAATAAGGATAGTTCAGCAACCAGCACTGGAACAAATCGAAATATGAATCGAGTCCAACGCTTGACCAGCAGCGATATGCAGGAAACAAAAGAAGATTTAAAGAGTCAATCTCCAGCACGGTTCCTTCCCAAAAGAGATGAGAACAATGAAATGTCCAAAGAAATGAATGAATAGGATGAATAGAAGAGAATGAAGGGAATGGACAGAGAAGAATGGAAAGAGAAGAGACAGCGACAAAACACAAGACGGGATGGATAATCATACCTATAAGAACCGAAGCGTTTGCAAACTTCCCCTTTTCAACCAATCACACGCACCAGGTGCCTGAAGTCCACCACACCCCACCAATCACAATCCCAGACCGGATGACGGCGGTGGAAGCTTGAAACGCGATAGCTTGGAGTTGAAACGGATGATCGTGTGGCAGGTTGAATCGGCTAACTAGCGCCCGTAGGTGTTTCGAATTGCAATTTTTGTAAGGGTCGCCTTGAATGGTAGGTAATTTCCAATCTATTAGAGCGGAAACAAACCTTCAAATGAAATACACAAAGAGAATAGAGGGTACTCAGGGTCTACGCGCTATATAACTTGATCCAGAACTTAAACAGGGTCTGCCAGGTCATCCATTCCAGTCATCTGAGATGCAGGTTATGCTCACAAGGGGACAGGGCGAGCATTGCAAGTTCTCGCGTATCACTTGGCCCTTGACCCGAGTGGATCCCCCTGTATAATATGCAATAATTAAATAGTGTCGATGATAGTCTGGGATTCCCCAAGTATTGTTGTTGAAAAAGATCAAGGGCTACTTTTTTTTTTTTTTTTCTTCTTCTCCCGTTTGCTTCAAATTGCATATGTGTCTACTATGTGTCTGTGTAATGTACACATGTAACACAACCCATACTCGACGGCTAGAGTCAAAAGGTGGATACTCCCCGCGTGTTGTCAGGGGTTGTTATGAGTTATGGATAAACATTCCCGGTGGTTGAAGGATTCCTGATGATGGAGAACAAAAAAAAGCAAAGGCATGACATGACCAGGACACGACACCTGGAATTCCATAAGGTCAGCTTAAGGGTTTGGCTGTTGTGATTGTAAAAGCTAAGAAGGGGGTTTGTCAAGGCCAAGCTTTACTCCCCCTCCCCCTAAACCAGGATCCCGACCCGCTCGGGATTGCCTTACCCTTTTGATTTAAATTGTCTCGTTATTTTGGCCCCTGTTTCTGGCAGAATTTACGATGTTGTACATCTCTTAAGGTTCTGGTGTCAGCCTTTTGACTAATCATTCCAAAAATAACCTCCAGCTTGGACCCCCGACTAATATTTTGTATAGTGCAATGCCCAATGCAGAGCCTCATGTAGAATATACATAATCCAACTCGAAAGACTTGTAGGAGCTGGCAAGGCTACGTTATAAATTGTCTACATATATTTAAATTTTATTTGCCACGCGTCCTAGTGGACACGGCACGGACCGTGCTTTAAACCAGCTGGCGTGGCTCTGAAGTGACGTGGATCCAAATCCAACGCCACTATACCTAAACCTCGGTACCTAGGTAGTCATACGCTTGAGAACACGCGCTAACCTACGCATCCCCTCGGTCAAATGTCGTGGTTCTTCCCACGCAAAGCAGAGGCGCAGATGATCGGCAAACCCCTCATCGATCACCTGCTCTCCCGGGACCTGGAACACATGGCCAGGAGATACACGCAACTTTTCTTCGCTCTGTGCTAGTTCCACTACGTCACCGGCGAGCAACGGTGCTGGTAGACCAATCCACATAAAGTAGCCTCCGGCTGCGGCGGCCGGTGGTGGGATTGTGACGCCCAATGGCACAAGGTGCTCCTGAATTGCTGATAACAAGGTGTGGTAGCGCTCAGCGTATTTCGGTTGGAGGACGTCGCGGATGTGGTTTTGTATGATGCCTGTGGGGAACATTTGGTCAATGATAGCGGCGCATAGATGGGAAGGAGCGCCGCCCGATCGGGAAGAGCCTCTGCAAGGGATATCGGGTCAGTTTGCGAATCCGAATCGGAGAGGGAAGAGTGGTCAGTCAGGTATTCCCAAGCGGTGCCCCGTACGTTTGTGATAATCCATAGGCAACTTTTTCCGACGCCTCGGCCCAACCGGTGCGGGCCCCAGGGCTGATCAACTTGCTGAAACTGCCGTTGCTTAATGCGTGTCCCCATTCATCCTGTGGACCACCGTCTAAGTAGCGGTCCACGTCGATAATGCGCGGAACAAACGCGCGGTTGCCGAGGTTCTCCTCTACCCCCGGCTTGGCTGACCACAGAAGGAAATCGTACACATCATCCGTGACGATCAGCGCATCGTATTGACGGGCAAGACGAACGAGCGCCTGACGTCTACGCAACGACATAATCTTCCCTGAGGGATTCGCAAAAGTCGGCACGGCGTAGATAACATGCTTGTAGATTTTGCGCCAGGGCCTGACCGGTTTCATTTTCTGCAGGGAAACAGGGGCAGGGTCAGTCCAGGACTCAATAAACGATGGCACAGTGGTATGGCACGGTGACCGCGATCATGTCATCAGTCATGGGTCCAGGATTGTCCTACCGGCTCAATATTCCCATCGCGTAGGGCAACCTCTTCCGCAGCCCGTAAACCGCTCTCCAGCACCGCTATGTTGACCCCCTCATCATCTTCGGGAACCCCGCGTAAGCGCCCGGCGAAGCCGGCGTCATCAAAGATGCGCGCGGCCAGGTGGTACGTCGGGACGACCATCCATACATTCCGCGTGTAGACGGGGTCGGTGAAGGTTTGCAGCACACATGCTAGGTTCTGGCTGGCCCCACCGGTGATGCAGATGCGCTGTGATGAGACGGGCTCGCGCGGCTGATAGAAATCGCTCAGCCATGCGGCTATATGTGTGCGCAACGGCTCGTATCCTTCATCGGGGCCGTAGAGGAGGGCTGGGTTTGCGATCGAGGGATTGGATAGTACGGTCGTGGCGGAGTGGCAGAGGATGGGGGCGGGGAGGAGCGCGGGGTTGGGCCAGCCGGTTAGGAGGTCGATGGGTTGATCGGGAGAGACGGTGAGTGTCATGATATAATTGATGCGATGTAGATAGTGAATATCATGTACTTATGTATAGCTTAAAATGAATAGTTGAATGTTTAGGGTAAGAGCTGGGCTTCCCCGGTTAAGGATGTGGCGAAGTGGGCACTGATGCATCCGAGATCGGGAATTGAACGGTTCCAGGGGGTTGGGCAGGTACAGGAACACCAGAATTGGCTGAGATGGTTTATATTCCGAGATCTATATATACAGACATTGACATTTGGTCCGAGTATATTTCAAGGAATATATTTGAAGTATATTTACCTTAAGTTTACATATACAAAGTACCTTGGTATCATGTCGATATATATATATATATATATAGAGCATCAACGCACGTCATAAAAAGCTGCCTTGGCAATACCGGGCTAGTATGAACTTGTATCCCCCAATTCGGACACCAGTTGACAGGATATGTCGGATCGCAACGGCATGATCGTGTTTTATATCTGGGCTTTTATTGGGTAATGCTAGGCATGTTGGAGTAAGGTATGTTGGTTTCAACTCTACGGTTCAGTCTATTGTGTCAACATATACCCAACTAGGTAGGTAACATTTAACAATTATGAATGCGCTATATATTTTCTCTCACTTTTGCTCACACTATACAAAGGAATTATCAATATGATTACTTATACCTACAACATCTATATTGATTGAGATATATCTCTCCTGTATTTAATTGGGGTCCACATCCAAGACATGCACAGCCAGGGAACCACTCATCTCATAGTTCTATTATTGGCAATAAACCGGGTCAAATGTGCTCCGTCATTTTTTTTTTGTTTTTTTCCATGTATTATATTGTAAAATATTATTAAAGAGTAAAATAATAGAAGTAAAATAAAAATAAGGCTCCGATATTCACATTTTATTTTATTTTATTTATCAAGTTACTTCTCCTGACCTTTCTCCCCTTGTATTTGTCTTTCCCTTTTTTCCCTTTTTCCCTTTTTTTTTTTTTTTTTGTTTGGATCTCAGCTCAGCCTCATCCATTCCCTGTGCAAGTGAAAAGGGTGTCAGGTTTCCTGTCATTCTCAATCCCTCCTGCCGATCCATTCCACAACCCCCCTAAACCTCCGCCTCCGATCACCTGCCAAGTACACACTTCATTACCCTAAGGCTCCCATGCGGGCTTGACCTTCTCTACAGGTCGCCTTCCAACTTATCCTCCCAACATCACTACTACCCAAGATGTTGTCGGCTCCCGTTAAGTCGGCGAAGCGGATCTCGTCTCTGTTCTCGCTGGGATCCAAAGATCGGGACTCCCAATCCTCGTCCGTGTCTTCGCCAGTTTCGAATTCCGCAGAAAACCCCATTGACAAACGACGCCAAAGCAGCTCAAAGCCCACTCGCCATGTCTCGACACCCAATGCCGTCTTCTCTTCCGAGCCTAGAACAATGCCCGATAATCTTGACATGGAAAGCCTACCCCCGCCACCTTCACTGCTAGCGGTCAACCAAGATCTGGCCAACAGCGCGCCGAGTTCGCCCGGTAGCCGCCCGCAGAGTAGAGGTCGCGACATGAGCAGGCCATCCAGCTCCGCAGGGCTAGCTATCCCTGGATCCACCCCGGATTCCCGCCCTAGCACACCGTCATCAAAGCGAAGAAGTTGGATGCCGGGTCGTTCGCGCGCCAGCTCAATCGACAAGCGGGCAACTCCTATGCTTCCAGCTGCTTGGATTGCAGGACTGGACCAGAAGGTTGTTTATGATCTGGGTCCACTATCCAGAGGAGAACAGGTATGCATACATAAACTCGGTCCGTTTTTGAAGTGTTCGAAGTTAATCATTCTTTTTTGTTACTTTTCAGATCCAGGAACTGTGGAACGAGCAAGGTGACACTTTTGTCTATATGTTCCCTCAGAATGCAGGCCGCGCCCCATCTTTCAAGGTCGATTCCACCATATTTGCCGAATCCCCCTCTCTCACCTATCTAGCCCGCGGCAACGATGGCAAGACCGGCCTCGAGCAGCCAACCCGCACATTATCACTCAACCCAGTCTCTCCGCCAATGTCACCGGTGGAAGGTCAGCTCGAAAACGACAACGATGACGACAGTGCGGGAAGCCAAAGAATGGCATTCGAAGATACACCCGAGGAAGCGCCCGAACTTCATCTCTATCTCCCTATTCCGTTGAACTGCGACGTGTCCAACCCGCAAGCCAGGCTCACTCCAGATGACACAGAGACTCTTCTTTTGTTCCGCAACCTTTTCGCATTCCTGCTCGGCCAGTCTTTAATTGCCTCACCCAAGTCATCCACCCTTTTCTCTATTTTCATGGACGTGGCGGTCCTTTTGGCCCGGTTTGAATTCTCCAACCTGGATGCGTCCAACTTCGGTGAGACTGCCACCTCCAGTTTCAGCAACTACTGTGAAGAACTGCGCCTTGCAGATGTCCGTCGAAGCAGGGAGAAGACGATCGAGGCCATCGTCTTGGGTGAGCGCCTGCGCTACTATCCTCTCTATGTCGAGGGTTTCGTCCATGGTGTTGGAAAGCTGGATGAGCTCAAGCAACTGCGGAGCCCTAAATATACCTTCATCCACCCCATCACGCAGAAACGCATGGAGCGCGCGTTCATTGATCTCGACAACCGTATTCGCGGTCTTTATGGCAAACTCGAAGATTTTGACTTCCCTTCCGTTTTCTCGGGTGTCGCCAACTCGACTACCTCCCAGGAAAGCAAGGTGGTGCGCTTCAAGAACTGGAAGACGGGATTTCACGAATTCCGCCGCTTTACGATCCAGTACTACCGACAGAAGTACGGCTCGTGGCCGCCCAAGGCTCGATCGAAGAAGAATGAGTTCGAGGAGAACGGCCTTAACCGTCTTCTCCTTTTGGATTTGTACCACGATTTCACTGATCTCTACGATTTGATGGTTGACCGCACGTCCCTGACGACTCGTACAATTGATATTTCGGGCGCAGGCAGTGACTCGGTTGAATCAACTGATCCAAAGCAAATGACCGTTCGCGCCTTGCGGCAGGTGCTCTCCGAGTATGACCGCAGCACACCGCCGGTGCTTCCTCCCATTCCATTCGACATTCCACAGCTCCCTTCGCTGCAGCCCTTGCATCGGAAACCGCTCGACGCCAAGAAGGAGGCCAAGCAGAGCGCCAAGAAGCTCAAGAACTCCGACATTAATGCTGTCCTGATGGGATCTTATACCCGGGAAGCCATGCGACCCACTACTTTCATTGAGAGCTTCATGCAATTCGAGCGTCGCTCCGCGCACGGGAAGAATGTTAATGATATTACTGATCTCCGATGTGGCCAGTGGATCTTCCTATACGCTGTCATTCAAGCCCTCCCCATGCTGGTAGTGGATGTCCCTGATGTCCACTTCAATGAGGGCGTCGAGTATTTCCTCTGCATTGCCCCACGCGGCGGTGCTCCTTGGATTCAGAACGACACCAAGACTGCCCGCAGCTGGTTCGGAGTTGCGGGTGGTGCTGGCGTGGTTAGCTTGCCATCCGACGTAGTCATTAACGGAGTGGAAGGTGTATATCGCCGCAGTCATTGCTGGCAAGTGGCCGAGCAGTGGGCCGAGGCGGGCGCTCTTCTTGATCCACCGATGGTGGAAGACGCCGCCTACGATGACGAGGAGTCTTCTATATCATCACCTTACCAGGGCCAGCAATCGTCGGCTGGATCTTCTTCGGAACCTTACCCGAACCCTATGACGGTCCCCGGTGGGCTCGCCCCGGCCCCTCCAGCCATTCCACGAACCCGCTCGCCTGCCGCTACTCAACGATCTGAACATCGCCACTCATTCTACCCTGGACTGGAAGCCTTGCCTCTTCCCGCTGGCATTGCTCCCATCGAGCCTCCCACACGTCCGATAAGTCGATTCAACCCGAACATGAGTTTCGACGATATTCTCAAGGAAGTCCCGAAGAAGGACAAAAAGAAGCACTAAATATCATTGTCTTGTGTCTTTTCTCTATGATTAGATTTCATGGCACTACCATACGGCCCGCATATTCACAATACGAACTTGTTTTGTGACTCCGATTTCCGTACTCTTGACCGTTTTAATTTTTTTTTTCTGTTGATAGGCGCATTTTGTGATACAAACTACTGGGCTGGATCGGCGTGATGCACAGGGAAGCGAAAGCAAAAAGCGAGAACTTTTTAATTCATCGGGGACAGCATGCATGGAGAAGCACATCATAATTATCGGCATATGGGCATCAGCATCTCCGGAGGAGGGGCTTTTTCTTTTTCTATTCACCTTGTCATTTTAATTTTTCTTTCTGCTTTTCTTCTCTCTTCGCCTCGGATTCCCCCCTGTTTCCTGTAGTTTGTGACGCTGGAAGCTGCTCAATAGAAATATAGATTCTAATGTCTACAATTCTGTGTACGGGGGTTCACTGATTGCGTAGATTTTGTATTTGTATTTGTATTTGTAGTTCCTGTAGTTGTGCTATTGAGTTCCGGATCCATGGTTCCAGCTTGAGTTACCGGGTTCTTTATTTCTTTATTTCTTTGTTTACACCAACTATATATAGTATGGGTATTGAACCTTTCAAAATTACCATATCCCGGACTTCCTGGATTTACCTGCGCTTTTACATAAAAGTTCTTCGTCTCCCCCAATCAAATCATGCAATCCGTCAAAATGGTGAAAACTATATGTCGAGGTCAAACCTACTAAAGCAGGCAATACGAGAGGGATCAGCCACACAGCCTCTTTTCCTTTGAACACCAGTTACAGAGTCCCCACAGGATTGGGGGCTAAGGAAGGAAAGGACCTTCACACCTGCAGATCTCTTCCACACGGGGAAAGGGCCATCTGCTGTCGTTTAAGCTTGATTATTCAAGGCTAGCTTTGTTCAATTTCTCCTAACCCCATCCCAAAGACCCCATCCCAAAGTACTTCACCTTATCGGGGAGGGAAAAAAAAAAAAAAAAAGAGTCTCAATAACCCAACAAAAAGCACCGATAATGAATTAACGACACCCTATACACAACAATATACAATATATACCCTAATCACCGCAACTCCGCTCTACCCACCATGCCACCCTCCCGCTCCAGCATAACGAGCGACAGCCATGAGCGCCTGGAGCCGCGACTCCTCCGCGCCGCAGAATCAAACGACATCGACTCCCTCAAAAAGACAACAGCACTTGCCAGCGAGTACAACCAATTAACCGACAATTTCCTCCGCATCGGATTAATGCGCAGCGCCGAACGAGCCTGCGTCGCAGCAACAGAATACCTCCTCACCCTCGGCGCAAAAACAGACGTCCCCTCAAACCGCGCCTCACCACTCCTCCGCGCCGTAGAGCGCGACCACTACGAAATCGTCCGTCTCCTCCTCGACCATGGCGCGAGCCCAGACTCCGCTGATAAAGAAGGTCGAACGGCGCTCATGACTGCAGCATGGAAGAACCACGCTGATATCCTGCACTTGCTCATTATCCGCGGCGCGGACGTGAATAAGCGCGATCTGCGACGGCGGAATGCATTGCACAACCTTGCCGCTGATAAGGCTTGTCGGTGGGGGTGGGGGGATGAGGTCGTGAGCTTGTTGCTGAGGACGGAGTGTCTTGTTGATGGTATTGGGGGGCAAGATGAGCTTGGGCGTACGCCGTTGCATTGGGCTTGTGCGTCTGGGCATTGGAGGTTGGCGGAGATGTTGTTGACGAGGAGTGTTGGTGAGGGGGAGGTAGCGCGGATGCCGGCGGAGATCGATGCCGTTGAGTTGCGTGGGAAGACCGCATTGCATATTGCTACTGCTCATGACCGGGCGGATATTGTGCAGTTGCTGCTTACGCACAAGGCTTCTGTCAATGCTGCTAGTGATGGTGGGTGGACGCCGCTTCATAATGCTTGTGATAAAGGATGTGAGGAGATTGTGCGGATTTTGGTCAGTGAAGGTGCGCATATCAATGCTCAGCTTTTGAATGGTATTACGCCGCTGCATCTTGCTGCGCAGGGGGGGTCATAAAGAGGTCGTGGAGTGTCTTCTTGAGAAGCCGGAATTGAAGAGGAGGGTTAGGGATAATTTTGGCAGTACGCCGTTTCTGCGCGCGGCGCAGTTCAAGAGGAAGGATATTGTGCTGTTGCTTGCGCCGTTTAACAATGTTGAGAGTCTTTCTGATGATGTTAAGGAGGCCTGCGCGGCGTTCGATGCTACTGTTGTTGATTTTGGAAACTTTCATAATGAGAATAGGGTTAAGCGCATGTCGGTGTTTAATCTGCTTTATGGGAGGGACCGGGAGAATCCTAGAAAACAGGCTGTTACCACTGTGCCCGCTGATAGTCGTGGGGCTGATTTCCGGTGGATTCACTTACCGGCGAACAATATGGCGTGGGTGGAAGCTCTACTCACCAAGTCTTTTATTGAGGAGGGTGCTCATGATGTTGATGGGTTCAAGGGGCTGGAGAAGTCTTTCAACTATCAGCATCGGGGTCAAAGGACTCACTCACACTTTATGCGACCGTTATGTCAGAATACGCCACGGACGCTGCTGCGGCGATATGAAGAGGAGACTTCGGAGGAGCCCGTGTCCGAGAATGGGCAGGCAAAAACCATGGATAGTGCTGCTCGCAAGCAAAAAAGCACAGGTGGCAAGCCGGACAAGGTGGATTCTTACTTCCACGATGAAGGGCCAGGGTCACATGGAAAAAAGAACAAAAACAATCAGAAACGTGGCAAGTCAGGCAGCGCACCGGGGACCCCCAAACAGGAGATGAAAGGGAAGTCACCTTGGGGCCAAAGCGAGAAACAGGCGAGGTCATCCCCACTGTCTTCAAATCTTTGCAAAGATCCTCACCCTCTGGTTTCTACATGTAACGTCTGTGTGTTCATGCCATATCTACACTTCGAGACCACGGAGCGCAGACAAAAGATGCAGGATGCAATCTCACGCGCGGAAACGCTGGATTTTGTATCCAATGGGATAAAGAGAATGCGCACAAGAGACGAAATGCTCATCGACGCACATCTATCATCCTCAACGACCTCCCTCCATGTCCGCCGAACACTAGACCAGTTTTTCTACCCAAACATCGACACCAAGAGTCGTGATCAGGATCAAGTGGTGTACCGGTACCAAACAAAAAGCCCAGGAATGGGGGCAGACCCCAAGATATTCATGGTGGATCAACTGTGGATGTGGGTTCTGGGCACGAATCTGATTGTGACGGCCTTCCCACAGAGATGGGACCAGCCTAAGAATGATCCGCTTAACGTGCTGGATGGGATAATTGAGGATATCAATTCCAAAACCCGAGACCCTGTCAAGTCCGTCTATGATCTAGCCATGATAATCACCAATAGATGCTCCGGAGTCTTCGATCGACACCGCTTGGGCGACGAGGAGTACCAGTTCCTCGATATGTTCGAGTCATCCATCGGTATAGCTACGGATAAAGAAACCGTGCTTTTTAACCAGTTCAACCACGCCTCTGGACAAGCATCAGACTGGCTGAAAAGCCATCGGAAGCTGAATGGTTCCTTCAGCTCTCCGCCCAAGCCCTGCGATGGGATAGACGAAAGCAGCAACTACTGCGACGAGGATGGCCAGCCACTATTCGTCGACCGGCTCCTGGACATCGGACAGGAAACCAATCTCTTAGCCGAGACAAAGGACATCCGAGACGAGCTGAACATGATCCGGACAGTGCTGGAGCATCAGAACAATGTACTGCTTGACTTCCAAGAAGTTGTCTGCGAGACCTACCAAGGTCAGCACCGGTCCCAATTCGAGGTCAAGAAACGGTTCAAAGATCAGCAGCGCATGATCGACATGCATCTGAAGGATATCGACCGAATGGATAAACAGGCCGAGCGTATCTACCACTCAATCACGGATCTACTGGATCTCAAACAGAAACATGCCAATGCATTCGAAGCCCGCTTTGCGCGTGATCAGGCTGCGGGTACAACCCGCCAGAGCAAGACAATTATGGTCTTTACCATTGTTACTATTGTCTTCCTGCCATTGTCATTCATCGCCTCCATCTTCACGATCAACCTGAAAGAATTCGAAAACTTGAATCTCGGCTATGTGGCAAAGTATACCTTTGGTATTGGCTTTGCAATCTCCATCCCCCTTGTCTGGGTCGCTCTCACGGTTGATGATATAGGTGGTTTCTTCCGCGTGGGTGGTCGACGCTGGCTGTCTAATCGGGAGAAGGCGTCTGCGAAGAGTGAACGGGGCGAGGAAACACTCCAGGCTTTGGAGATGGAGAAAATGATAAGTTTGTCGCGTATGCGGAGGAGTATCGATGTTGGATACGGTGGTAGTCTGCTGCCTGTTTCTACACGTGGCACGGGGACGTCGAGGAGGCCTGATCTATACGTTGGTGGATTGGGCAATGGCACTGTGCGGAAAAGTTACGACCTGCGGTCTAGTCTGGACTGCAGATCACGATGATACGATTTATGGCATGTAATGATTGAATATTTTGTCTTATAGCTTGTTGTTTTTGTCTTGGTCGTTTTGTTGTTTCGATCTTTAGGCAAAAGTTGGATATACCCGTCTTCTACATAGCACTAAAAGTAATTGAGGTCCGGGTGAGAATTGAAGAAGTTTTGACGAGAATTAAAAAAGATTTTCAGTAGTAAATGCGTCAGCCCTTGAAGCTACAATATTCGCCATCTAGCTTAGCTGCACCACATCTGAATACTCCCGGCTTCCCTCTTTCCCATTCCCTATGACCTTAGCGGGGTGGCACACATTCATGACAACCATGGCGATAAGCATCAATAGCCCATCGAAGATGTACATGAACACCTCGTGCGTCATGGTGTACCCATCGTAACCTTCTTTGTATTCGACCAAGCGAAACACGGACCGCACCAGAATCAGGAAGCTGGCGACGTACAGTCCAATGAGGATTGTGAACCAATTGCGCTGTCTCCAGCCATCACCGCGGGTTTGATCGCGATCTAACTGCGATCTGGAAGTCGGTTGACGGGAGATCCGGAAGTGGAAGACTGTCGTCACGATCACGAAGAAGCCGAAGAAGAGGAGTTGGACGACCAGGCCACCGATGGTTATGTTCGAACCTGCATCACGCATGGAGCCTCCTGTAGACATGAGGCCGCCACCTAAGATGAGAGATATGGTTAGCTTCCGTATTCTCAGACCGTAGCTGGCCTGTTATTTTATTTGATAACAAGTGATTTACTTACCAGCGCATTGCAAGAAAAAAGAGAAGACATCTCCTGTCACGAAGATCTTGGTCATCCACTTGATTGGCACCATGCTGAGGTGCTCGGCCTGAAGGTAGGTAACTGTGCGGCCGAGGATCATGTAGATAGATGCCGCGTATAGCGGCGGCGCGAGCAGGATGAAGAGTGTCTGCATGGCGTATAGCGGGATTCCATAGAAGTTGTCATGCGACGCGGCTCGGCAGATGTATCCAATGACCTGAACTGTGTGAGTTGAGAGAGAGAGAGAGGTCAGTTGTGATTTTGAACAGCGAGATAAGTAGCTTCACGTACAGACTCCCCCGATAACGAATGGGATGAAGTACCAGCATCGTGACTTCGTGAGTTGATAGCCGTGGTGAGCGGTTGAAGCGCTGAAGAGAATGATAAAGATGATAGCGGCGGGGAGAGAGGGATTGTACCCATAGATATTATGTTGGTCAGACATCCTGAAATGAGATGAGCTTGACGTTTGAAGAAGTTGAGTTCATTTATGCTAGTTGGGGTATACGTTTGGACTTTATATGAATCTGGGCAACAACCATCGCTACCAGCTACGACCATAGCCTTAGACCAGAAACAAAGTTCCTTCGCGATCCACTATAAATTTAGGCGACCTTACAATTGAATGAATTGATTCGAGCGTTATTCTTATCATTTGGGGAAACATCTTGGCTTTTGCGCAGCTTAGACAGACGATGTGGGGGTATTGAAGAGGCTTGCGGCGAATTTGTCTCCGTTTCCGTGTCCGTATTCGTTTCCCGTATTCGTTTCCACGTATCCCCGTATCCGCACTCGAGTTCGAGTTGATCTCTCTTCACCACTTTGATCTTACTATAAATCTTTGATAATGGGCCCAAGGAGATCACATCGCAAGTCGCGCAATGGCTGTCCACAATGTAAAGCGCGAAGACTAAAGGTACGACGAACAATCCCTAGCTTGAGCCTATCCTAACCCAGCACAGTGCGATGAACAATATCCATGTGCCAACTGTGTCAAACATGCCATTCAATGCTCCTATGTTGAGCGAGGCGTATCGACCCCGGCTGAGAGTCCAGCTACTCAGTCAGGGTCACCGGTACTGTCTTATGGGCCTTCGCCATTGAGTGCAGAGTCATATCCGGCAACTCCCGTTGGGGACCCAAGGACTCTGGGTCACGAACAGCGTAAGTCAGAGAGTAGATCTGATCTACTGCAATTTCTGTCCGACTCGCCAGCTGAAATCCCGGCTTTGAATACGGATGACTGGGCATCGGATCTTGAACTCATGCACCATTACTGCACTGTGACATGCAACACTCTGACAATCCGCGAAGACTCACGGCATGTCTGGCGCACTGTTCTCCCAATGGAGGGATATTCCAATAAATATTTGATGCACGGAATACTGGCTTTGGCTGCTTTGCACCGCTGCTATCTCTTCCCAACCCAGAAAGAAAAGAATCTCAAGGCATCTGCCTACCACCAGGCAGTTGGGCTAAAAGAATTCCGGGAGCTCATTTCCTCCCCAATCAACCCTAGCAACTGGCAGCCCGTTTTCTGTTTTGCTTCTATGATTATGGTATGCATCTGTGCCTCGCCGATCCGACTGGGGGCGGATCGCTGGCCTGCTCCGATATCGAATATGGTGGAGCTCTTTTCCGTCGTCAAGGGATTGCAGACAATCATGGAGCCATGGCTACGCTCTCTTCGGAGAACCCAGCTCGCACCACTTGTCAACAGCGTCTGGATTGAAGATGAAATGCTTATTCCAAGGTGAGTTTGGAGTTTTTGTAATCCACATTAGAGGCATGGTAATTGTTGAACCGAGCCAACTGACACCGTTTCAGTCCAGGGACTATGCAACAGTCTCTTCTTCCTCCTGACATCCAGGCTCGGATATCGCAACTCCATCAGTTTATTGATGATTATCCATTCCCTCACATACAACCCCAGTCCCACCAGAACTTGAGCGCCTCGGATGAGTTACCGCGTCCTTTCGATTACCGAGCAGACTACAAACACGCAATGAAGTACTTTGAGAACTCGACTCGTCAGATGGAGCTTGCAGGACCCCATGTGGAGGTGGGAATGGTCCTAATGTGGGCATACTCACTTTCCAAACAATTCCAAGCTGACCTGGAAGCATCCCATCCTGCAGCTCTGGTCCTGCTGAGTCATTGGTGTGTGCTGCTGCGTATTGTTGACGATTCCTGGTTTATCAAAGGCACTTCGCTTCAATTACTGGAGGAGATTGAGAATAAGATCAACCCCGGCTTTCGGGAGTGGCTGGTATGGCCGAGAAAATGGGTCTTTGGCAAATGATCTCGATCGAGTATTACGACATATTGATAGATATTTGTCATGGGACTTTCGTTTACAAGAATTTACAGCAAAATGAATTGGTATATATTCCACCCGATTTCGAGCGGAGATTCATTATTTCATGGTAAACAATTTCAAATATTAAACGAGAGATGAAAACAAGGATGCATAAAACAAACTCCAACTAATCCAAAAACCACAGAAATTCGACCTGTACTCACTGCACATGAACCTTGGCATACTCTCTTGCCTCACCATCTTCAACATCGCTTGCTTCAGACTCCACCGGAGTGAGAGTCCTCTCATCCACGACCATGGCATCCTTCTCATTCTCCAAATCACCATCCTCCACAATAACCTTCTTCTTCCCAACCTCAGGATCCTGAACAATCTTCGGCAAAGTAACATTCAAAACACCATCCTCCAGCTTCGCCGAGATCTCATCAACAACAACAAAAGCCGGGGCAACACGAGTCCCAAGACGGACCTCGCGCTCAAAGACACCAACGTGCTGGCCCCGCTCTTCCATGACAAGAGCCTGGTGCATATCCTCATTGACACCGGGACGGTAAACAACACCCGCCAGATGCAGAACAGACTCATCAGCATCATAGTCAATGCTGAGATCGCTTTTCTTAGCCCCCGGAAGTGAGACATGCACAATGTACTTTGTGGGGGTGTCGAAGACGTCAACGGAGGGCGTGAAGTCAGCACCCTCTGTGGTAGGCTCGTTCATGGGGAACCCAAGTCCTGCACTGAGCTGGCGCAGGAAGTCGAATGGACTGCCGAAAGGAGGTCCGCCGTGGTGTCTGCTGCGACCACCGGGGCCTCCTTTGTGATGGTTGCCATACCCACGGGGCCCGAAACCAAAAGGACCGGCGTTATGGTGGTGGCCGGGGAAGCCGTATGGACCAGGATGGGGACCGTGTCCGTGTCCATATCCATGTCTGCCCCGTCCGTCACGCCCAGGGTCCCCGAAGCCGCCGGCACCTTGGTGGTAGTCATGACCATGACCGTGTTTTCCCTTGCCGCCCTTGCCGCGGAAGGGACCTGGTCCGTGGTGACCGGTACCTCCATGGCCCTTGTTCTTGCACTTTCCGTGGCTGTGGCGGTGGTGGTTATTGTCAGGAGAATCAAAGTCCGATGCTGACGTTTCGTCTTTCTCCATATTGTCGTTGGCCTCAGTGGTTTCACCGACTTGAGCACCTCGGGTAGTATTGTCGCTCTGCTGGGGGTTATCCCATCCACGACGTCCGTTATGTCCGTGGTGTCCGCGGTGGCCGTTAGGAGCAAAGAAAGGATGGCCCTCTAGATTGCCGTTGAAAAAATCCCAAAATGGATTGGGAGGCTGGTTAAGTTGGTAGATGGAAGCCATCTTGGAGTGGTAGATTGATGTAAAATATGTAACTCGCGAGAGAAAATGATATGTTGGAAGGTATCAAAAGTAGAGAACAAAAGCGAAGACAAGTGGAAGACACTTGATGTGATATTAGAGAGATACACAGAAGTAAAATGCCGCCCTTTATATACACAACTGGATACACACCCAGGCAGCCATGTTAATCGTCATTCTGGAAGTATACGTATGACAGCCTGCCTAGCCAGTTTGCCATCAGGGCTCAGGGCCGAGAATTGGCCCCAATGTAGCAATATATCGGAGATAGGCATACATTATAAAATGATCTCCGAACCTTCGAGAAACCTAAAACTCGGAGGGGCGAATACAGATACACCGATGAGGCTGAAGGTATATAGCGGAAAAGAGACCAACCCGATTAGGTAATCTGCCCCTAAATCCGACGTTGTGACTCAGACTATAGCTGCGCTACTTGGTATACGTGTATGCGCCACAGGACGCCACACAGAGTGTCATAAACCCGAGATGTTTCTCACCGCCCTGTCCACCGCCTAGGAAGTGAATGCAAAATCTCGAGATGTGATTGATGCGAACGGACAGACAAGTTCGCTGAATTTCATGCCATTTACTTGGATAATACCGAGACGTGTTATAACCGGGACGGATTCGGATTCGGGCGTCTTCACGCAGTGCTAAGGAAACTGGCCCTTCAAGCCGAACACCAGTGCATCTGTTGAACCGCGGAAGAGAATGTGAGAAAACAATCCGGGAAATGGTTGGGCTTGTTATCTCGAAATCTAAATCAGCATCAAAGCCTCAAGCCGCTAAAACCTCGGAGATCCTTGAGATAACTAGCTAGTTAGTTAACTCAACTTATGTTGCATTTATATAATCCATGTGATTTTGCCAAGCCCTAGCGCAACCCCATCGTACGACGCTCCCCTTGAACTCATAATATCTTCGGTTTCCCCTCCCTACTTCACAAGTTACCCTTAAACCCATTTACAGCTGATAAGAATCTGTTAAAATTCTTCAGTGCCATGTGACCAGCATGTGCCTTAACCTCCCGATCGTCTCCGACGGCACGTGCAGTTCCTTCTCACCGACTGCTCCGAAGGGTTCCGGGTGCCCACGAGCTTGATAGAGGGAGCAGTAACAGCTCTCAGTTCTCAAAACATTCACGGGATCACGAAGATCCGAAGGACTATGGGTCATACCAAGTGGGCCAGGCCCAAGGTCCGCTCCGGGTTCTCCTTTCCTTACCCTGCCGACAGTGAAGTCATCGACGTGTCAGCGGAGGAGTAAACCTTAAGAGCACCAATGCTGCATTTAGATAAGAGGTTTTGGTGCTATAATGGGATCAATTTCGAACAGACCATCTTCGATTTGTTGACAATCTGAGCTAGTCTTCCATTATTATGCAAACCCGGCCATTGAGCGCGATGCTCCCTCTGCGGCGCCAGGCCCTACGTATGCGGAATCCGTTCCCTTCCTTTGCCAACCCTTCCAACTCTACCTACATATCTTCTAGCATTACCCCGGTATTTCACACATCAGGCCGGAGATGCCTCGCAACACATGTTGAAAAGCCCGCCGCAGCTCAGGAGCCTGAAAATAAAAAAGAACGAGTCGTCATTCTTGGATCCGGCTGGGGTGGATACACTCTTTCGCGGAGGCTTTCTCCAAAGACTTATGCACCTCTCATAATCTCACCTCGCTCATACTTCGTCTTTACTCCTCTACTTACCAACACGGCCAGCGGATCTCTCGATTTCTCGAACATCGTCGAGCCCGTGCGCGACCCGCGCGCCAAAGTCGACTTCATCCAAGGAGCTGCGCGCGCAGTTAACCTGAAAAAGAAGACCGTTCTATGCGAAGCAACAGTCGTCAAGAGCGGCGTCACCGAGTCACCCCGCACGACCGAAGAGCAGCGAGGAACCGAGGAAGGTCCGGAGGCCACGAATAAGGCGCCGATGCAAGCGCATCTCCAATGGGAACAGGGAGAATTATTCGAAGTACCCTATGACAAGCTAGTCATTGCGGTAGGCGCCGTCAGCCGCACGTTTGGAACACCGGGGGTGCGGGAGAATGCAATGTTCTTCAAAGATATCGGGGATGCGAAAAGGGTCAAGCGGCGCGTGCGGGAATGTTTCGAACTGGCCGTTCTGCCCTTCACTACACCGGAGATGCGAAAGTGGCTACTGAACTTTGCCATTGTTGGAGCTGGTCCAACCGGAATCGAACTTGCGGCGTCGCTGCGCGATTTCATCTACTCCGATATGATGGCGCTTTACCCGAGTCTTGACGAACTCCCGAAGATCACTTTGTACGATGTTGCGCCCAAGGTGCTTTCGATGTTCGACGAGTCGCTTTCCCGATATGCGATGGAGACCATGGTGCGTGAGGGTATTGATATCAAGACCTCCCACCATGTCAAAAGTTTGCGCTGGGGCCCGCCTGGTGCACCTCCGCCATACAATATGGACCCCAAGCGCTGTTTGACTCTTACAACCGAAGAGGACGGTGAACTGGGTGTTGGAATGTGTGTTTGGGTAACGGGTAATGCCATGCCTAAGTTCATCACCGAATCGCTTGATTCAATCGACGCATTCCCCACAGACTCAGTACATAGCATGGAGGCTTCACCAGAAGCACCTGAAAAACCCGAAAACGCATCGTGGAAATTCAAGAAAGCTCCCAAGAAAGGTCCCCTTGTCGTCGACGGGCATCTGCGGGTGCAGCTGCAGAACGAAACAGGCCAGACAGCCGTTCTCCGGGATGTGTTTGCATTGGGTGATAATGCCATGCCGGAGACTGGTGCACCTCCTGCAACGGCACAGGCTACCAACCAAGAATCCAAGTGGCTAGCCGATCGCTTGAACAAAGGTGACCTGGATCAGACTCCACCTTTCTCTTTCCGCGACCTGGGCACGATGGCGTACATCGGCGACGAACGGGCATTGATGCAAATACCCCATAGTGGTGACCGTGGCTCGACGAGTTTCCTGCCAGAAGGTATCAAAGGACGTACTGCGTCGCTCATTTGGAAGATGGCGTACATCAGCATGTCCATCAGCTGGCGCAATAAATTGCGTGTGGCTTTCCGGTGGACATTGAACAAGTTCTTTGGTCGAGATGTCTCGCGGTTTTGAAGAAAATGTAGACAGACTATATGTCAATGTTGCCTAGGTAGATCACATGGAATTCAAGAAATTAAAACTAAGTCTAGCTCATTCATAGACTGGGCGACTACCTAGGTGACTAGTTGTACAATGAAAGAGGATGTGACTAAACACCCCCAATGTATTCCGTGGGACTTGTCCAGTGACTATGGTACCCAAATGCTTAGCCACTTGCCAAAGAACACACACGAGACAGCCCGGTTTGATTTGAATGCAGCTGCATGGGCCTCAACAATGTTGATGTCATGCATGGGCATCCAAGTGTTACGGGACCCTCCACCTACGCTGTCTCATGGGGGTTAGGAAGATATGTGTGGTTGGAAGGGATGGGGAGAGGAAGAAGAGAAGAGAAGAGAAGGAAGGAAAGGGGGTGGGTGCCCTTTTATACCCCCAACAACACGTACCTTCCCAATTCATAAATTTTCCATAGTTTCTTCCTTCCTTTCAACTGTTACCTGCAAAGCTCCAGTATAGATTTGGCTGCTATGGATAAAAAAACATAGAGGGTTACTTCAATTTCCTACCTAGAGTACCATACAAATGATCTCAATAATAACCTTCAAAGGAGACCCGAACCAGTCAACCTATATCGCTTAAGTAAATCTATATACCCGTTAGTATGAACAGCCCAGAAATCAGGGCATGAAATACATACCTCATAACATAAGGACAGATACTCTCCCCACCATAAGAAGTCCAAATAGCCTGCTCACGAACCGGCGTACCAGTACGAGCAGCATTGATCATCAACTTATCATTGATAAAGATACCAACATGAGCAACCTTGTTCTTGCAATCACCACCAGTAGCCCAGAACAAGAGATCACCAGCCTTAGCCTGCGCACGCGGATACCGCTTGCCCATACTGGAGTCATACTGGTCTTGCGCAACACGGGGAATAGTCTTCTTCAATGCCTGGCAGATAGCATACTGCGTCAGACCGGAGCAGTCAAAGCCGCCGCCGGAGGGACCCTTGCAACCACCGCCACCCCAGACGTATGGGAGCCCTTTCTCCTTCTCGGCTGCAGCGATGATGGCCTTTCCGGTGCCTGTGCTGCCTCCGCTGTCATCGCCGCTACCACCGCTGCTGCATTTAGTGGTCACGTAGCTGCTGCTGCCGGTTTTCACGTAGTAGTCGGCTACGTAGCAGCCGTCGGATGTCTTGTCCCAGATGTTGTTGCCGGAGACTGTGTCTCCTGTGGTTTGACAGGTAATTTCAACATCCTGGGACTTTTTGTATGACTTGACGACCGCATGGCTTGTCCCAGGACCGGAGCGGCAGTTGACAGTGGCTCCGGTGATGGGGTAGGCGCTGACGGCTGTTATGGACGTCGCGAAGGAGAAGGCAATGAGGGAAATAAAATGCATGGTGGATTGTTTGGTTGTATGTCTTTGTGATGGAGAGTTCGTTTTTTCCGTGGGTTGGAAGGGCTGAAGATGAATCCGAATAGCGATGGACGTTGAAGCCTTTATAGATAAATCATCACGCTGTGCTACGAGAAGGTGTATAACCTGTTACAGTGCCCTTCGTGTTTGTCGAGCTGATCGTCGATTCGTCTTTCTCGGACGGGAGTCTTCACTCGTATTCCCTCTAATCCGATATGATCGCCGTGAACCTCGCGTTATAGTACCCAACCAGCCGAGATCTCCAAGATTGTTTACAAAAATAACAATTTCAAGGGGTCCAGTAGACACTAACTGGAGTTTTGGTCGATCATTTCTCGTAAGTTCGTGTTCCTGAATTCATACTTCCCTAGAAGCCACTAACAACACGAAGAACACGAGAAGTTACTATTTATAGTGGATGCAACCGTAATTTAGCCCCAAATCGAATAGCCATATTTTAGCTCAAAATTCATGCAGTTTGATGCTCGTCATGATATTCCCCGCATCTTGAATGCTCAGTGGGCAATGTATGTACTAAATGTTACGTGCCAAAACTGATTGCTTAAAGGCATATGCGTTTCGAGTTCATAGTTATTAAGGTTGATTGAAAGGGGACTTGGGTTGGGGACGTGGGAAATATGGGATAAAAGTGAACATGGCACGGGCATATACAGAGAACATATTTCTGTGTAGGTAGGGAAAATAATAATTTGTGCATAGATAGTATTAAATATGCGTGACGGGGTGAAGAACGTTGTCCGGCTAATCTTAGTGAAGAAACACCCTACTCCTTTCACTATTTTTAACAAGAAAATGAATCGATCAACCAGTTTTTTGCCTACTTTATAGCTTAGCAAAAATCCTGGTCACTCACATGCTTGACTCTAAGTATTCGACACCCATGCGCTAAGCGAGACACAAAGAGAACAACTACCCGGGCCTTGGAGGGTTCTAACCAACTACATGCATCCACTTACAACAATGCTGTAGAAAAACAATGCATTTGCATTCAGGTCCACCCAGTGTATTTCATGACGAATCATGGTCTAGACCATGGCGTTCATCCGAATTTCCACCCGAAGAACCCTCTGTGAGCGACGCAACCGACAATATGCAATAACGTGGAAGTCTGTACCACTCTTCTTGGACTGTTAATTTAGTCAGAATGGAGTTTGGCCATGGGACTGGGTCATTTATCGTACCTCCTATACTAATGCATCCGATGAAGACTGGGATGAGCTTTTTGATGATGAAAGTGCCCGCCATTGATCATTTGCCCAAGATGTTCTAAGCCAGTATAAATATGCCCTTTGCACAGATTCCCCTGAGGTGATTGTGTATTTTCCCCCAGGATAGACAATTATTACAAAGTATTTCTAGTCAAGCATGTGGTTTAAAGTGAGGGGTAGAAGATAAAAATGATAGGGGGCAAGACTGGACATATTCGAAATACTACCATTGATTGTCAGATAGGATTTTAAGCGCTCATACTAAACGTTGAGATACATACTCTGTGTACTACTTCTAATTTAACTGGGTGGTTAGGTGTATTCCGTGATACCCCATTTGCTAGAAGAAAAAAGCGGGGAGAAAAGCATTAAAGACGAGAGGTTCTCACCATCGAACCTTTAGCTCCCCTAAGAGTCAGTCACATTGATTTCCAGTTCCTAGCGTCAACATGTCAACCTCCCAAATCTACCCAGTCTACAAAGTCAAATTGACACTATCAATGCAAGACCCAGACATGCCATCGCCTCGATACCACACCATCCTCTTCGTCCAAACAAACGAACAAGGTTCAGGTAGTGGAATAAAGCACCATGTCACCGGCGAAATTGTCACAGGCATGCACTACGAGCCAGCAAAATACGACGACCCCGAGACAGATGAGAACTTCTTCTCAAAGGAACTCATAGGACATACCAGAGCTCTCAACTATCCTAAGAACTGGAACGATATTCTTAAGTCTATCCCGGCACCACCGAAGCAGAAGGCTTTCAACAAAGTGACGATGAGGACAGAGCCTGTCAAAAGTTGGGATCCAATGACGTTTTATGAGTTTGGGGAGCCTCGTCGGCCGTTGATCAAATGTACGGAGTGGATTGAGGATCAGGCTATTCCAATTTTGATTAATGCGGGCTTGATTCAGTAGATGCATGAGGGTATAGCTGGTGCTTAATGTTAGAGTGGTTAGTTTTGACGCCGCTGTTTCAAAGGAGGATACATCTATGTGGTCCTTCTGGTTTTGAGATAGTCCATGCTCCCTTTCAGCCATAACCTTAGCATTGAGACTTAGATCTTTCCAATATCTTTCTCACTTTACGCAAGCGCCATGGGATGGGATACTGTGACAAGCAGTATCAAGTAATCCCTTTAGAAACCGGCGCATGCCTGGCTTGTAGTCCCGCAGATGGTTGACAATATACATTCGAATTAAAGTATAAGTGACCTTTGAATGATATACAATATTGACCCTTGTGAAACTGATATCCTGACTTATGTGACCTGGCCAACAAGGTATTAGATGGTGCTTGATCGATATCAAACAAATCGACCTCCTTAGAGAGCCGTCAACCACGGTTAACTCCCGTGGTGGGTCCCTCTAGTGCGGCTCTAGTCGCCCGAGTACCTCGATATAAAGACCGGCTGTTTGCACTTGACAGAAAGTATCAATTCCTGAAAGGACTTTGGAAGTAAAGCTGTGAATAAACTGCTTTGTATCGAAGGCGTACCAGGTAGGACGGCACGTTTCAACGGAAAATGCTACCGGTACTACCCAATTCCCCGGATGCATCTAATCGATCTTATTTTGCATAATACGTTATACCGATATCCAAAATCCCCACAGTATACTCCAACCATAAACCCCTTCGCAATCCTCAAGCAGCTTGCCTCCATAGGAAAAGCATTTAAAGAAAATGAACCGGGTTCGTGAGAAGCGCTCATCGCGCAAAGCCGCGCGCTTGTGGCCGCACTCGAAATTCCAAGTGAATTCATCCAGCGCACTTTCTAGACAGAGGTAAGAAGACCAGTTTCAGATATAAACCTTTCCCAATACCCCAACAACCAAGCTCACAATATCACCGCTTATACCACAGCCCGCCTAGTCCGCCATAATCCGGCTCGTCGTAGATTATTCTAACACCTTCAAGAAGCAGCCCTAAGAGGTCTCAGCCCGACATCTCTATCCAAGAGAACAGGCGTCGACGTCGAGCTGCTGACTCGTCTAGCACGGCACCTCGTTGCGATGAATATACTAGCCTTCCACTCAGGTGCATTTCACGGCACAACCCTAAGTAACGGCCTCGTCGACGAACGATATCAGCACAGCATTATATTCTACTACGAAGCTACGCGCCCACCGTTCAACGGGTTCCCGGTATACTTTAAGAGAAACGGATATAGGTCTCCGGCGTTAGGTGACACAAATAGACCCTTTCAGGCGGTATATAAGATAGATTTACCGTTCTTTAACTAGGTTGTTACCACGTCGTCGTATCTACGGCATTTTAATTCATTTATAAGTGCTTACCGTGCTAGAAAGGCGAGCTAGTTTGACGAGGGCTTTTACCCTATTTGGTATCGGTTAGTTTATAGGTTAGTACGGAGATTGGTGATACTTTGCTAGTTGACGTTAGTATTAGGCGGGGTTATGATATTCCTGCTTTTATAGCGATATATAGAAATCTACCTAGGAAGGTTGTGCTTTAGGATCGTAAGCCTATTATTACGAGTGTTTTGGAATATACTAAAGGGAGGGCATTTGAAATATAGGCTTACGATTTCTTCACGCCGTAGCCTATGAAGGGGGCGAGGGCTTACTCTTTATATTCTATCTTATATAATTGGTGTGATAAAGACGGTGTGCGGATTTTGAAGAATCTAGTGCCTGCTTTGGTTAGAGGGTATTTAAGGGTTCTCTTTAGTGAGTTTATGGTTAGTAAGGAGAAGGCGATGCTGGCGGCGACTGGTATGGATATGATGATGTTGGCGCATTTTTCGGTAAGGGAGAGGACGGAGGTGGAGTGGAGAGGGATTCTAGAGAGAGTTGGGTTGAGGGTTGTGAGGATTTATACTTATCCAGGTGTTGTGGAGAGTTTGATTGAGGCTGGGTTGGCATAATTAACCTTTTATTTGGTTTTTAAAGTACTCCTTGGGTGCAGCCATATGCATGGATATGGGACTGACGCGAGATAAGTTTCGAAGTTGCTGACCTGCAATTTGGAGAATTCAAAGCTTTTGATTTCTTTGATGGCTTCATTTTATCTCCAAGCTCTCTGTAGCATCATCATGTTCTTGTCGGACATGCTCTTCCAGGTGTGCAAATTGGTTTTTATGCTGCCATCCCCCAACGATTCAAATCATCACCTATGTTGTACTCTCTTTTATGGTTTGATAGAGGAGGATTATCTATCTGTCTGGTCGATGGTGCGAGAGTGGGCCTAAGGATTGAAATGCCCGGGAGGGAAGTTCGTGGCGAACCCCTGGGAGGGAAGGTCGAAGCGGGGTCGTATGTCTTCGTAACTTCGGGTAATTAAAAGTGTGGGGCCTCTGCAAGATTGGCTTAGCCGTGCCAAGACCCATAGGTACGGTTAGGCTCTATCTGATCCTCCCGGTGCTGAGTTCACTCGAACATCTCCCGGATCATCTCCTTCATACCGCGATACACAAAAGCAGGCAGAGCTGACACAATGAGACCATCACCGTCAGGATGTTGGACTTGCAAGCTCAGGCATCGCAAGTGTGATTTCCGAACGCCCACCTGTGGGGAGTGCAGGGATCGATGTATTCCATGCTACGGCTACGGGCCTAAGCCCTCGTGGATGGATGGCGCGACCGCCGAAAGAAAGGAGCTTACGCGCATCAAGAATGCCGTTAAGCTGAATTTCCGAAAAGTCCGAAAGTCCCAGAATCATGTTCGGCAAGTTAGGAGGGAGAGATCACGTATTATTAGATCATCTTCTCCCCAGATGCCCGTCGAGGGCCGATTGACAATGCCATCCCCTGTTGTTCCTGAGATACCGTCTCCTTCGCATCCGCGATTTCTTCCAGAAGTTACCTGCAAGCGACTCGAGCCCAGCCGCAGCGCAGACCTTATCAGTGAGGGCCCCGGGCATGTCTGTAACCCAGTCCAAAATGAGAGAAGTACATCAACTGGCTTGCATTCACAGCATCCGGCTCCCTCACATGTCTTCGGGTCGAAAACAGCATCTCTAGTCATGCATTATCTTGATTCCGTGTTTTACTGGCAGTACCCCTATTTCCGCTCCCGTTCCCGCTTGGGCAATAGAGGCTGGCTCCTATTATTCCTTAGTAGCGGTGGCCCCCTGTATCAAGCCGCCCTAGCGCTCTCCGCACTTCACCAAAATCAAGCTCAAGTCTCCCATATAGACTACCAGCGCAATCAAGAGGCATTCGAGTATCACTCAAAAGCCCTGCGGGAGCTTTCTGAGTTCTCGCGCCGCACTGAGACAGAGACGCTCCTCCGCGACAAGTCTCAGCTTGCGGAATTTGCATCCACTAGCTTAATGCTGATAAGCTTCGTGGTAAGAACTTGAGTGGCTGTAGTACTATTGTGTCTCAAATGTATTTAACGTCTCTCTAGGTCTTTAATGGTGCCGAATACGATTGGCTCCCTCACCTGGATGCCGTGACCAACGTTCTCAGCATGCATTCCCCAGAAACTCTGCTCGGGCCTGCCAATAACACAGATGCCGCTAAAGTTAGCAAGGAACACGTATCAAATGACGATCAACCCCAACCGGGCTTGGAATTTCTCATGGTCCATGCTATGTGGTTTGATATCCTATCATGTATCTCGACTGGCCGCGTGCCGCGGATTGCCTACCGACAATGGCTCGAAACATCAAAACTTGAGATGGCAGACCTGATGGGTTGTTACAGCTGGGTTATGATTGCCATTGGCGACTTGGCGCACCTTCAGGCGTGGAAAACAGACATGAAGGAGAAAGGAACCTTGAGTGTGCCGAATTTGGTAACGAGGAGTAAAGAGGTTGATACGCGGCTACTGGAAGGCATAGACGAGCTTGAACTGACCATTAAAGTGAATATTGGACTGAATGTGGAATATACATAAACTAACTGTGAATGTAGGAAAATACTAAAGCATCTCGGGTTGCATGGGTCTCGCACATCTTTGCACTAGCCTCGTTGGTTCTGTCAAGTACCATAGTATCAGGACCATCGGCATCGCTCCCAGAAATCAGAGATATCGTCGGCAAGGCAGTAGATGTACTTCGTGATTGGCCCCTAGCCATTTCCCTTGGGGGCCTGATATGGCCTCTATATGTCCTAGGATGTATGGCTGATTCTGAGCACCAAGCCTTCTTCCAGTCACTTCTGACCAACTTTGATACGGGATGTGGAGGATTCGGAAATACCCGTACGGCACTCACGATGATGAAGGATTGTTGGATATCACAGCAGCACCATGGTAGAAACAGCACGGATCTGCCGTTCCCGATGGGAGTTCGTGTGTTGTTGATATGATATAATTGCCACTTCTAATTTCCAAGGGAAAAAAAGGAGAAGAAGAGAGAGAGGAGGCTCGGTAGCTGGCAGTCCTGGCAAACATGATCAGATGATCACCGATCCCAACACAAGGAATGACCCTCCACTTCACTGGTGGCCATCTTAACTTGCTTCCAACTATTCAACGAGGACCATCTGCGCTGCGCATCTACCATTTGAAGACTTGGCCACAAAGGTTAACATGAAATGGTCTTTGGGAACTTTTGCCAGCGTAGGATATTTGTCATACGTCTTGCGTCTGGTGAGCCGAGAGTCAAATGTCCACTTCCCAGCCTCAACTGTCAGTCCATCTGCAGCTTGGCCATCAACGAAGGCCGTGAAGGAAGAAATTTGGCCGGGGTCAGGCGAGTTCACTCTGCCGTGAACTGACACCGAACGGACCTCAAACTGGTCATCAGTGATTACCTCTGACGTGATCTGCTCAACTGACAGCTCCGGCTTTGATGTCGACAAGCACTTGCTCACCAACGAAAATTTGTCAGTGGGAAGCTCTGGGGCTCTTGGGGGCATAGTTCGTCGTTTGAAACTATTTTCATATGAAAATGCAAAGCGAAGTAAATCTTGATCTGCCCAACCCTTTGTGGTGAAGGTAATACCCACAGGCATGGACTTGTCTTCCATCTCCCCCATGGGAACCGTGATACAAGGGACGCCAAGGTGCTTAAGTGCCCGACCACCATTAGCATACTTAATTCCATCTTGAAGAGCGTGGCGCATCGAATCCAGATCCTCATCGGCGTTTGCAAAGGGGACATCGCCATTCGTCGGAAAAGCCAACAGATCTAGGCCCTCGACATCCATCCAATCGTCGTACAATGTCTTTCTCATTTTTTCGAGGGCCTTGACAGCCTCCTCACATTTCGGTACGGTATCAAGGGAGTTGGCTCGAACACGGACAGATTCAATCATATCAGGATATCGAACAATGTTCTCAGCCTCGGACATTGCCCTGGGATCATCCAAGGGTGCGATATGCGGGTGGATCTTCTCCGGGTCGGCAAATGTAAGATTTGGAAGGTCAACGTCGTCCATGGCACGTAAAAAATCGTCCCATGCCATGGCAATCATCTCGCATCGTTCAAGCTTCGCCCAGTTGACCGATAGTCCAGGTACGTTGGACGCCTGGCCCGGATACTCCTGCTTCTCATACTGCTCCACAAGTGGGAAGTCCACTTCGATCAATGTTGCGCCCAGGGCCTCTAGGTCCCTGCGCGCACGATCGAATAATTTCAAGACCGACTGGGTGCAGATATTTGAGGCCTCTGTTCCTTGTCTGCCAAGAAAGCGTCTCGGCACCCCTATCCGCTTTCCGCACAGAGCGTGAGGATCTTCAAGACTATGGAAGTCTAGAGGTCGGACTTCCGATGCCTTAGGAATAGAAGTATAAGGTTGGTTTCGCCAGAAATCAACTCCTGTTGAGGCCATTTCATCATCAAAAACAACGACATTAAGTACATCAAAGAGGTCTGAGACTGTCCTTGTATGAGGCACGACAACGTCACACGTTGGATACAGCGGCCACTGTCCTCGGTTTGGGATTATGCCGCGAGATGGAGAGTAACCGACCAGGGCGTTGTTGGAAGCCGGGGAGCGTCCTGAAGATACTGTCTCTCCACCAAATCCAAAGGCCGCGAACGAGGCCGTCATCGCAGTCGCGCTGCCATTGGAGGAACCAGAGGCATACGCCGTTGTGCCATAGGTGGCATTATACGGACTTTCGGATCTACCATACAGACCACGCTGCGGACCACCATCGGCCATGGGCGGCATATTGGTGCGACCCAAGACGATAGCTCCCGCCTCTCGAAGCTTCGAGACAATGGCCGCATCGTCTGGAGCCATGAGATCCGCAAAAGCAGGAGATCCGGCCGCAACTGTCATTCCCTTGACCTTGAAGCTGTCCTTGACTAAAAAGGGAATTCCCTCAAGGGGACGAGGGACATGGCCTGGTGTTGCGCGGTAGTCATCGGAAGCCTGTGCTTCTTGAAGGACCTGAGGGTTCAAGACACAGACAGAGTTGAGAGAAGGGCCTCGCATATCAAACTGAGCGATGCGGTGTAGGTAAAGAGTGACCAGTTCCACACTCGTTAAGGACCCTGTATTGAGAGCTCGCCTCAAATCGGAAATGCTAGCATCTCCCAGGCTGATGGTTTCCGTAGCTGACATGGTTGCGAGGATTCGGGCACTGAGCCCAGACCGAGGAGGAACAAGGAAGAGCAATGAATTGTTTTTGAGGACGAACACATTTGTAAAAGAACATTGAAGTCATTTTATAGAGGCAGCAACAATCCAAACAGTGACATAGTACGTTGATAATTGTGCATTGAAGGATAAGTAGAGATAAGAAGAGAGGTGCTTTACTGGGAGGGAAGCTCGTAGCGAGGCATATTGCGCGCCCTGTAAATGCTGATTTGCCAAAGACAGCAAGATGGGGAAAGGATAAGGGTTTAGCTACTAAGAAGTATACATTGGGAGGGTTAACTGGGAGGGCAAGTGGGCCGAAGCCTCTCTGGGGAAAGTGGAGACAAAAAGTACGGTAATTTACGAAATATATGTATACTGTACTTTTTACAATCCAATGGAGCCAGAATCGCCTCTCACGGAGTGCTTTGTTGTCCTCGAAAGTGTTTAAATAACACACTATTTTCCTTCTTGTGACCTTAATAGCTCATCTTACGCACTGTCCTTTTTTTTACCTACATAAATTCCTCCATCAAAGCTCCCATCACACCCTCAAAGATGAAGTACGAGCGCATGCCAATCGAGATTGAGGCGCCTGAAGAGTACGGTTACGACAAGATCAAGTATAATCTTTCCGAGAGCTCCATCACGGACCAGACCATCGAATCTCTAGGGCTTCAGATTCCAAATCTCAAACTTCTCTATAATGAACACCGAGGCGAGACCGAGCTGCGGAAGCTGATCGCCGACGACGCTGATGTGAGCGCTGATGATGTCCTAATCACCTCAGGTGCCGCTGGTGCCTTGTTCATCATCACCACGTCGCAGCTGGGTAGCACACACGCCGGGGAGCGCAATCACCTCGTCGTTGTTCGCCCAAATTACGCCACCAATCTGGAAACACCCAGGGCTACTGGCTGTGAGATATCGTACATTGACGTTACCTTTGAGTCTGGCTTCCAGCCCAACATTGATGACATTGAAGATGCCATCAAGCCCAACACTCGGCTTGTCTCCGTGACCTGCCCGCACAACCCTACTGGCTCGACTTTATCGCGGGAGGCGCTTGACAGGCTTGTTGCTGTGACCAAGAAAAAGGGCGTTCTTTTGCTTGTCGACGAGACATATCGCGATATCGCTTTTTCTCAAAAGCTTCCTTCAGCGGCCTCCTTAGGTGACCACGTCCTAAGCGTAAGCTCGTTGTCCAAGTCGTTCGGAATTCCTGGGATTCGTATTGGCTGGCTCATCACCACAAACAGGGCTCTGCAAGAGGTCTTTTTGGCAGCGAAGGAGCAGATTTGTATCAGCGGCAGCGTCATCGACGAATGGATTGCCACGCAGGTTCTGTCGGAAAGAAAGAAAATCCTAGCCCATACGACACAGGAAATGAATGTCCGTCTTCAAATGGTCGAGTCATGGATCGAAAGTGAGGACTTGTTGGAATGGGTGAAACCTACCGGTGGTGTCGTCTGCTTCCCGAGGATCAAAAAGGAGCCCAAAGGTGGACTGCCAGCATTCTACGACAGGCTACTCAAGAAGTATGCTACGTATGTTGGCCCAGGACACTGGTTCGAATTGCCCGATAATTTCTTCCGCCTTGGATATGGCTGGCCGACACGTGAGGAACTTGAGGGAGGTATGAAGGCCATCTCGGCGGCACTGCGGGATGATTGAGCAGTCGGCAAGGACACAAATGAGCAATGGGCCAACATTGGTGTTAAGGCAGAAGGTCTCAGATACAGGCTAGTTCAGTGTTAAGTAAACTCCATTAAACATGAATTTATTTATACAAGTCAAACTATAACATAATAAGCGGAGAATCTAAACGCTACTAGAATATGAAATATAGTTAGTGATATAGCTAGCTACTAAGACATACTCTCTCACTCTTCTCCCAAGTAGATACAAAAAACAGAACATTTTCATAAGGACTCTACAGAATGCATGATGTTTTCCTTGGCCATAATATTCCAGCTCATTTCTTTCTCTCTTCAGGTGACATGCTGGCTTTGCATCATCATAAAACGTGGAAATGGCATCAAATAACTATTAAATTATTTCACCTTAGATAGCCATATTAGCACAAGTAAAAGCGGGCGTGACAGATCCCGCGTAATCAGCAATGATCGCTTCAACAGCTGCATACAGCCCAGGACCCAACAAGAACAGTCCAACAGCCAGGATGAAGATATTGAGCACAGTCACCGCAGTCCTTCCCAGACCACTGAAAAGGGATCCCCGGTTCAGCTGCCAGTATGCAATGGCAAAGTAAATAAACCCGAAGAACGAATCAAAGGCCGCGCTGAGCAGGGAAAGGAAATCACCCATGCTGGGAATAATCTCCGCGAAAACAAACCCGAGGATCCAGATCCCGACCATGATTATCCCCCACACACTCCATCCAAGCACGGTGTGGCTGTGCGAGTGTCGGGACTTGCCGAGGATACGGGTGTAGATGAATTTTGCAGTTACGTTGGCGTAGATCACGCCGATAATCAGTGTAGGGACAATCACGAAGCCGAAGGATGCCTTCTTGTATGAAACGACTCCCAAACTGCCGAAGGCGGGGGCGGTGGAATATTGGCCCAGGAAATGGAATCCAATGGCTGAAGGGACGATGAAGAGGATGGCGGAGATCGCGGCAAGAACGGCCAATGCTTTGGGGAAATCTTGAGGTTTTTCCATCTCTGAGATGAAGGTTGGGAATAGAATCTGGGGGACCCAGAGGAAGGTGATGTTCATCACAGCGTTCATACAGGCGACCCATGTAGTGCCTGGCAGAGGGAAGGCGTATGTTTTCACGGGTCCTTCTGTAGGGTAGTTGCCGCTGTATCCGTAGAGAGGTGCCTTTTCAATACCAGCAAAAATGAGAAAGAGAAGAATTGCGATGCCCATGCAGGCGGCTGTGAGATGGTCAGTTTGGGACGATTGAGAGCTGGAGGGAATTTAGCTACTCACATGAGAACATTGACATGAAACTAACATGTTGCAAGGTCCGAGGCATGGACATGATAATTCCCATAATGGTCACAATTATTGAGAAGACAGCAGTGCACAATGAGTGGTCTGAGAGGGTATTCAAGACCTTGGCGCCAGTCAAGATGTGGAATCCGACAAGAAGAATATTGTTCGCAAGCATCATGAATGAGGAGAAGACGTAGGCAGTTTTGCTCTGTCCAAATACATGATATCCAAAATCACCTATAGGGTAATCAAACTGTTAGTTTTCAATGCAAGTAGAAATCGAAATACTCGGACAGTCGCAGACTCACAGATATCCATGATATGAGGATATTTCATGATATACTTATGCATCGTGATGGAGGTGATCCAGAAAAGGATTCCGCAAAGGACCATAGTAATGATTCCCGGAACCCACCCGAGGACACTGAGGGCAACACTCTTATCAGCTTTATTGAAAACAGGTATTTGGAGGAAATGGCTACTAACGAGAGAGACCACGACTGTGCCATAATTGCCAGACAGACCTGCTCACCGGCAAGCAAGCAGGCCGTCTTCTGCCAGGACATAGTCCGAAGCTTGATATCATGTTGATGGTCTGGACGGAAGGTACTGTCAGCTTACTCCGGCAGACAACGCAGCGCAATCTGTACCTGCGGCGACCAGAGCAGTGATGGTATCGAAAGAGTCTGTCCCATCAGTCTCGGTGCCTAGGACGTAACCTGGCTCCTTGTCGTTGGACATGTTGGATAAGTTGATCAAGGTGATGTGTTGAGAAAGTAAAGTCTAGGACACTAGATAGGATCGGCGGAGCCCTGCATTATAAACAAATGAGAGTCAGATTGCCCGCGGATTCGAAACTTTTTTTTTTCTTATTTTGTTTCTAATTTTTGCTTATTTTTTTCTTTTTTTGCCTTGGCGATAACGTGGTATGGCTGACGCCAGTCCAGAGAAGGCAAAGGGGCAGCTATTGCGCCATAATTAAGAGCATCGCGAGATTGGCTTTAGTCTTGTCAGGGGTTAGCCTCATTGCTTGTCGGCCATTTCCGTGGGTCTGAGCCGAATTGATTGTGGCCACTTTGATTTCTGGGCTTCTTATTGGTCGAATTGAATTTATTTTCCCGAATCAACCAGTCAGTCCACAATTGCAAAGCCGATGAGTCCAGAGCCATCTCTTGGCAGATTTCGTACTATATTTCCCTCTTGGGAATTGACCTAGGATATTGACCTCCAAATTGTAGTATAGACATATACATTCAAAGTAACTACAGCTTCGCACTGGGTGAGCCCCCATGGCCCTGTACCGCCCGATCAACAATCTCCATTGCTTGGAAAAGCTGATAATCGTGCTGCTTAGGAGTGACAACCTGCACACTGAGAGGCGACCCGAGGTACACCCGACGGTCAACTGTTTTCTCATTCCCTGTAAATCGAAGCAAATTAGCTAGAGATCACCTGTATATCAAGTGTCGATATCGAAACTTACACAGCTGCCGATTAGCCTTATCCCAACTTCCCAACACAGGTGCCTCCATTTCCCGCCCAATCTCAAGATCGGATTCTGTGAATGAGCGGACAGGAATGGAGCCAGCCGGATAGTCTAGCAGCACAAATGTCGAGGTGTACCCCACAGCATTGTAGCGGTCGAGCTCCGGGACTGGGTGCGGTGCCACAGGGCAAATTATAGCGTCGACGCGTCGGGCGACCGACGAACTCTGTGACGACAACGTCCACATCTTCATCATTTCCTTCTCAATCTCAGCACGCTGTGCCTGTAGCATCGCTAGTTGAACCACAGTCAAGTCCTTGCCACGCTTCATTCGGCCTTGCAGCCACGGAATAAGGTCCTCGCCCATGCTCTCGATAAGATCAAGCATATGCGACCCGTCGTCAATTCCCATCAGCCGGCCAGCGAGGGCCTGGCATTTAGGTAGGACTGGCGGAAGTGGGATATCAACGACCTCGACGCCGGGCGTACGGCGGAGGCTGTTGGCGACTTCGTTCAAAATTCGGATGATCGGGGGCAGAGGTGTGACGAGACCATCTGTCTTGAGAATACCGATAGTGAAGTTGTGTGGCGGAGTGAGAGTAAGCGGGATCGATTGTGACGACCATGATCCCGGAATGCAATCCTCACCGAACAGCTCCGCGCGAGGCACGATCTCCGCCATGATAGCGTTGATATCCGCAACAGAGCGAGCCAACGGACCAGCCACTGCTTGCAGTCCTATTCGGCCCTTACCTTCAATCTGTCCGTTCTGTTGGCCTCCAAACGGCACACGCCCATTACTTGGCTTGAACCCATAGATACCCTGGCACATGGCTGGTACGCGGATGCTACCACCGATGTCCGTGCCAAAGCCGACCATCGACCCGCGCATGGCGATCAAGGCGCCCTCCCCGCCAGTGCTTCCACCGGCAGTCCATTTACGGTTGAGAGGGTTCAACGTGCGCCCGAAAAGATGGTTGCAGCTGTCCAAGGTTGCGAGAGTTTGTGGTATGTTTGTCTTGGTGATCACTACCGCGCCCAAAGATTCCAGCAGGTCTACCAGTGGGGCATTTGCTTCTGCAGGCTTGAACGCCAGGGCAGACAATCCAATGCTTGAGTCCACGCCTTTTATATCAAATGTGTCCTTCACTGACACTGGGAGACCATGTAAGGGGCCGATTGGGGTGCCCGTGCCCTGGAAGTGGTCGTCCAGCTCCCGGGCTCGTTGCAAGGCGCGGTCGAAGAGGGGCTCAGTTAGACACCGGGTGAGTTGGTGAGCGACCGCTGCCCTCTGCAGTATACCATATATATTAGTGACTTGATCGGAGAGAATCGGCCAGCATGCGAGCGCACCTTGCAAAACCCTCGGACCACCTCCTCGGCTTTCAACCGACCCTCTGCCATCTCCGTAACAAGGCCCCGCACATCGTATTTCTCTGTGATTTCCAATTCTTTCGATGTGAGTAGGCCGCATGTCCGTGGGATATCCATCACACCAACTCGTTGGTAACCTTTTGGGCCAACGGTGATCGACTCAGGAATTGAGAGCATGCCCTCAGGGATGACGTGTGCGGGCAGCCGCCATTCGGCAGGGATAGCTGCAGCAAGCTCAGCTTGCTTGCGCTGGGCAATTGCTACATAACGGGGTTTCTGGGAGGCCATGGTGGATATGTAGTGAGAAAGACATTGAGGTGGGGAGAGGTGGTTTTAATGCGGGGAGAAGTGTGGAGAACAGCAACCTCGGCCCGTTGAGAAGGGTCTTTAGTTGCCCGAGGTCTCCTTTTAGATGTGTCCGTATCACACCACCTTTACACCCTGATAGTCTCTATTTGGGCTCTAAACTTTGATGGATTTGACTCATTTAAGTTGGTGATGAGAGTTTGTATTGGAACCTCAATCAAGTTACAGGTTACTCCACTGTATACTATTTTGAGCTTTAATTGTGTCGGAAATATAGATCAAAAATCTAGAGTCTCCCCTTAAGCACGGCTCCACCATCCGTTGTAATGACCGCTCCATTCAAATGACTCGAAGCCCTAGATCCGAGGAAGACAACCAAACCGGCAATATCCTCAGGCTTGCCAAGCCGACCATTCGGTGAGTATTCCTCAAGGTGCTTCATACCGCCTTTCGACTCAATCAGTCCAGTCGCCATCTTCGAGGGATAGAAACCCGGTGCAATGGCATTAGTCAAGACATGGCGTGGTCCAAGCTCAACAGCCAA